CGGAGCAAGGCCCGGCCCGCCCGCGAGCGTCGTGCGGTCGAGTTGCTGTGTCTGCCTGCCCGTGGTTCCCGGTGCGCGCCGCCGACTTTGCAGACGAAGGGAAAGTTGGTTCCGAGGGCGGACCGTCCCCAGGGCGGCCCGGGGCGCGGGGGCACTTCCGGTGTCCCCCCAGGCTGGACTCCCGGGAGATGTTGAGGAGAAAGGCGCCCCTCAGATGAGCCAGGCCGCCGACCCGGGGTGACGCCGAGCTTCTGCCTGCCCGTGGTTCCCGGTGCGCGCCGCCGACTTTGCAGACGAAGGGAAAGTTGGTTCCGAGGGCGGACCGTCCCCAGGGCGGCCCGGGGCGCGGGGGCACTTCCGGTGTCCCCCCAGGCTGGACTCCCGGGAGATGTTGAGGAGAAAGGCGCCCCTCAGATGAGCCAGGCCGCCGACCCGGGGTGACGCCGAGCTTCCTTGAGGCCGGCCGCGGAATGGACCCTTGTGTGGAGCCCGGGGCGCCGGGGCTGCGGGGGGCGCCGGGCACCGACTGCAGCCGCAGGTGACGCCCGGGTGCGCTGCCGCCCGCGCGGGGAGCGGGCCCTGCAACCCCGGCGTCTCCAGAGGGAAGTGATGGGGGAGGGAAGCCTGGAAAGGATGAGGAAAAGAATGTGTGCGCTAAGGGGCTGGAGAGATGCTCAGCCTTTTAAGAGCACTGAGGACTCGTTTGACTCCCAGCACCCACATGGCAGCTGACAGCCGTCCATAACTCCAGTTCCAGGGAATCCAATGCCTCTGCCTGCCCTCCATGAACATTGCATGACATGAGTGCATTTACACACATGCAGACAATACACTCACACACATAAAAATAAATAGGGGGTGATTAAAAAATAAGCACTGGCTGCTCTTGCAGAGACCCAGGTTCAATTCCTAGCACCCACACGGTGGCTAACAACAGTCCTTTAACTAGAGTTCCAGAGGATCCCATCCCCTTTTCTGACCTCCACAAGTATCGCAGTATACTCAAACAGAGAAAAAAAAAAAAGTGAGTTAAAGGTCATGAGAGGGGAACTGTAAGAAAGCAGAGACCCAGGTTCAATTCCTAGCACCCACACGGTGGCTAACAACAGTCCTTTAACTAGAGTTCCAGAGGATCCCATCCCCTTTTCTGACCTCCACAAGTATCGCAGTATACTCAAACAGAGAAAAAAAAAAAAAGTGAGTTAAAGGTCATGAGAGGGGAACTGTAAGAAACCGTGTTCAAGCTGGAACCCGAAGGAACTCCAAGACACCCAGGAGTCACGTGCTTCCCGAGTATTAGCATCTCTTGGTTTTTCTCTCACAGTGAACAAGAACGAAACAGTGTATCTGAAGAACTGAACATGGTCATCCAAGAAATGAAAAAGTACCTTCCAGGGGAGAGACACAGTAAACCCAGCACCCTGGACGCCCTCAACTATGCGCTTCGCTGTGTGCACAGCGTGCAAGGTAACTTGAGTGGCAGGAACAGGGCAGGGGTGGGGGGCACAGAGCACCGGGTGCAGTTGCTCACCGTAGGTGCAAGTGTGGTCTCTGGCCCTGGGCTTTGTGTGCAGGACAAGCCTGTCCCACGCTGATTTCTGGGGTGCTTGGGGTGCTTTAGGCTTTCCAGACAGGATCGCAGTCTGCAGGCACCAAGCAGTCTCTGATTCAGCTGTTGCCAGGGCTGGAGGTTACACGATGAGCAAAGGTGGAAGACTGACTTTGAAAGGAGCGGTGTCTTCTGTGAGATTACACAGAAAACGCATTGACTAAATGCACTGGGTGCTGCCCTCTCGTGCGGAGCCTGGAATACAGTTCCAGCATATCAGCACTCAGCAGATGAAGGAAGAAGCATTGTTCTATCTTTCTGTCTGAGGTACTCCATAAAGTCCCGTTCTCTTTGGCACAGACCTCACTGCTTCCCCTGTGATGTGTGGTTTCTGAGTGCTCAGTGTTTCCTTCATAAACATGCGTGGATCTGGAATTTGGATTCCCTGACCTGCATTAGCACTGCAGGCCTATCTTGCTCCTGGGGCCCCACCACATGCAGGAGTCAGAAAGTTCATTGTTAACTTTGTTCAGCGTCTGTGTTCCTAAGCAAGCAAGCGCGACTTGGGTGTGAGAACACATTTAGGGGGTTCTCCTCTGAGGAAGGAAGCCAGCCTCCTGGTGCTGACAAGGCTTCAGGATACTGTTGTCACCAGACCACCTGTTTATTTCCCTGTGTTTCTTAGCAAACTGGATTTTTCCCGATTCTCTGTCCAAGCGGAGCACCTCAGGCAGACATGGCCGTGTACAGTCTGGAGGAGCTGGCCATCGTTGCTTCTGAGCACACTTCCAAGGACACAGTAAGAATTCATGGACTTTGCCATCTCAACCTGAGTGATTTTTCCTAAAGACCTTCTCTAGGTGCAGATTTTTAAAAATAGCCACAGAAAGGTTCACTAGCTGAGGTAAACAAGGAGAAAACTGCTAAATAAATGGCAGTGTAGTCGCCACCCTTGCCAGAGAAAGCGTCTAGAAACAGAAGCGGCACATCAGTACTGCTAGCCCCTTAGCGTCCCTGTGTTTTCTCAGATGAAAAGAAAAAGCAACAAAGGACGTGGCAGGGTAATGTCCTGTGCTTTTATTCTTAACATCTGAATTGTTCGTTTCTATTTATATCATTCTTAGTTCCAGTACCTACTTCTTCAAGTTGTAGCAGCTGGATTTTGTAGAACAGGTGAGTTGAGAGGTCATTTTTTGGGTGAAATTTTGGAAGAGACCTTTAGTATATCTTTTTTGAATCTCCTCTTATTGACAGAATGATTAAGGCTCCTATTTTATTGATGTTGGAGACTACTTAGTTTGATGTTTAGACCTCAACATAACTGTAACTTAATGATTACAATATTACATGAGCTAAGTCATGTTACAATAGAGCTTATTTTCCTAACCTTGCATAGTACTATACTAGGTGCTGTGGGAACTTAAAGCTTGAAAATATTCACCCTCCAAACTCTTGAAAATTATGCTGGAAAAGGATGCATGCATAGGTCCAGCTATAAATGCAGTGGCTGGATTTAAACTGCATTAGTGTCTGGAAGTACAGATGAGAACAGTGATTCTTATGTAATGAGGTCTGTTAAGGACAACTTCTTGAAGGAGGCAAATCTTGAGCTTGGTCTTTAAGAATGGAGTCTTCATTGCTAACCAGAAGACCGTCCCTCCAGGTATAAAGTGCAGTTTGCGAAAGAGAAAGATGTTTATGTGTCATGTATGTGTTTAATACATAGAAGAAGCTGGTGTTGCTTTTTGACATAGAGATCAAACCTTCTAAAGGAACAGTGCAATGTTTATAATAGTTTTAAAGAAGCATGCTGGAAAAAACTATTTGAGGAGATTTTTAGCCTTGGCAAGATATGTTTTAAGGTCTTGATTGTAATAGACATCCAGGAGAAATTGACCTTTCAGAGAGCGGTGTCTGTGAGCACCTCAACCTTTGCACTTCTTTCCAACACTCTTCGTAGGGCACCTTTGTGGCGGCGTTTTCATTTCTGTCTGGAAGGGTAGTGCACATTTCTGAACAGGCTGCTTTGATCCTGAACTGTAAGACAGAGTTCCTGATGTCCTCTCACTTCGTGGACCTGCTTGCCCCTCAAGATGTGAGGGTGTTCTACGCACATACTGCTCGAACTCAGCTTCCTTTCTGGAACAACTGGACCCAAAAAGGTAATGGGAACCAGTGTTAGGTTGGGTATCTTGTCACAAGATCAGGTTCATTCCTAGAGAATTTATTTACAGTATATGAACTATGTGATTTCCTCTGTTGTAAAAAAGAACACTGTGAAACGGTATTAATGTTTCATGACATAACAATTCGATATAGTTCTTTTAAAATGTGCTTATTTTTATGTGTATGAATGTTTTGCCTGCATGTATATTTGTATGTATGCAGTGCCTGTGGAGGCCAGATGGTGATGTCAGATCCTCTGGAACTGGAGTTATAGACAGTTGTTAGCCTCTATATGAGCACTGGAAACCAAACCCTGGTCCTCTGCAAGAGCAGTCAGTGCTCTTAACCACTGAGCCGCCCCCTGCCCCCATCAGTTCTTAGTGAAGTTTCACAGGTTTTGTATCATAGGTGTCCCTGATTAGCAGCATATTTCATAGTGGTTCATTGCTATGCGGGCTCTCTCCATGGAATTAGTAAAACATTTTCCTTCTGTATTGGCCTCACAGTGTCATCTAATAGATGTGATTTGAAGATAAGATTGTGGTTGCTCCTTTTCCAGTTATTCTTGCTCTTAAAAGTTCATTAGTGTGTTTTTCTTCTAAATATATGTTTTTCTGAACCAAGGTACATATTCATAGTGTTCTTCTTGGCATTTAATCCTGTGTCATCTATAAATAATTTTTTTCTTAAAGAGCTCAGTATATTCCCTATAGCCAGAGATACGGAGACTTATCTTAGCCTTTTCTTGGATTCGGTCACACACACACACACACACACACACACACACACACACATACACACCCACACACACACACACAGAGAGACAAACACACACACAGACACACACATACACACACACACATACAAAGGTTCAGTTCCTTTTCTCTGGTTGTTTCTGGTTGGAACACACACACACACACACACACACACACACACACACACTCTCTCTCTAGGTAGCCAAAGATGATCTTGAATCTGTGACCCTCCTGCCTTCACATAGCCAGGCTATCCTTAGACTCTCTAGGTAGCCAAAGATGATCTTGAATCTGTGACCCTCCTGCCTTCACCTCCTGAGTGCTGGGATTACAAGCACGTACCAGGCACCATGAGGTATACCAAGTCTGATCTGTGGCGTGCTGGGTTGGAACCCAGGACGTCAAGTATACCAGGCAAGCATTCTACCAACTGAGCTATATCCTCGGCCCTTTTTTCCATAATTTTTCTTTTGTTTGTTTTTTGAGACAGAGTCTCACTGTATAGCCCTGGTTGGCCAAGAACTTGCTACGTTGACTAGGCTAGACTCAAACTCACAGAGATCTACCTGCTTCTGCCTCAGGAGTTCTGGGATTAAAGATATGCTCCCCCACACCTGGCTTTTTCTCTAATTTTTAAAAACTATTTTATTTATTATTTTTATTTTATGTGTATGAGTGTATTGCCTACATGTATATCAGTACACCTGTGTTGTGCAGTGCCCACGGAGGTCAGAAGAAGGCGTTAGATCCCCTGGGACTGGAGTTACAGACGGTTGTTAGCCACCATGTGGGTGCTGGGAGTAGAACCCAGGTCCTCTGCAGGAGCAGATGGTGCTCTTAACCACTGAGCCATCTCACCAGCCCCATTTTCTCTAATTTTCAAAAAGTTTTTTATTGTGTTAAAAAAACATTACAACCAAGCATAGCGGTTAATCCCAGAACTCTGGAGGTGAAGACAGAAGGATCCTGAGTTCAAGGCCATCGTGAGACCCTGCCTTTAAAAGCCTAACAAAAGATTTGCTTTTTAAATCTTTGTAAGTGTACAACCAGTAATGTAAAGTATATATGCATTATTGTGAAACAGACTGCCACAGTGTTTGAGCTCTCTTTTTTCTTATCTTTCAAAAATATTGGTGCCTTTCTCTTCCTCTTTCCTATCACATTTTCACCTTCTGATTGTGTTTGTTTCTCTGCTTTTGTTAATCGTTTATTTAAAAAATACTTATTTAACAATTACTTGGCCAGGAACTGGTTTAGTTGCTGGGATACAACTAGGAATAGGCTGGACATACGTGGTTTGCCAGCTCTCACATTTTCCCTGTGTTGTCCATTACGTCTTTCAGCCTTTTTAACCTCTGCTAATTATTTGTTACTGTGATATTCTCATCTCATCCAAGCTGTCGTGCATCCTGAAATCATTGTCTTTTGGACGTAAATGTTTACTTCTGCCTCACAGACCTGAGGAGCATTTAGCTTGCTCTGAATACTGTACTTCAGCTCTGTAAATCTCATACTCAAGCTCTGACTGAGAACAGTTGATCAGCCCCATACCCATTCTGGGCTGTGCCCTTGTTGCCTGCATCAGTCCCCTCCTTTGAGCTTAAACGGACACAAGAAGACACAGGAAACTGTGGGCTCCACTCTTGTCAGGTTTGATCCTGCTTTAGAACATGTTTCCACTGAAGGTTGGTGGCATATGCCTCTCAGAAGGATCCTGTGGTTAGTTCTCCAGAACTCACTTCCAGAAATGAGCTCTCACTCAGCACTGGATGTTGTGTGCCTCATGGGAATGTGTCCTCTGAGGTCACACAGTCTGGTTCATTGTGCTGCAGTGACTTGGGAGTGCTCTGGGTGGTATTCAGGAGCCTGCTGTACTTTGTAAACAGTATGAGCAAGAGGCAACTTCTGGTTCTTCTGTGATCCTTCCTCAGAAGTGCATATATGTAGCTCATTCAATATTTGGGATCTATAGGAGCCTCAGTGTTTATGTTAACATCAATGTATTTTAAACTTCTTAATAGTTTTCCTTAGTTCCTGTAACTCAGGACTTTTCATTCCAGTGTACTAATGCCCAAAACTACATTCAGGGAACTCTGTCAGACAAAATCCAAATAGTGAGCACTTGGGCAAGGGTTTAGCCTCCTTGTTTGACCCTAAAATAGGTAAATATATTTCTAAATGTCACCTTACGTTTCATGAAGACCTCTGTTATGATGGATATAATGTATTGTAAGTCATACTATAAATTGGGACCATCTTCTGGAGATTAGCTTAGCAGCACCTGAGAGTCAAACAAGGATGGTAGATCTAACCTAGATGCCTAAGGAGATGGGCATGGCTACAGACACCTTCAATCCCAGCACTCAGGAGGCAGAGGCAGGCAGATCTCTGAGTTCAAGGCCAGCTTGGTCTACATAGTGAGTTCCAAGTCAGACAGGGCTACATAATAAGACCCTCTCTTTACGGAAAGATTCCCAGCACCCACGTGGTGGTTAACATCCATCTGTAGCTCCAGTTCCAGGGGATCTGATGCCTTCTTCTGACCTCCTCAGGCATTGCACATCACAGATGCACTTACCGACACATGTAGGCAATACACGTATACACATATTTTTATTATTTTTTATGTGTATGCGTGTATTGCCTGTGTGTCGGTAAGTGCACCCATGTGGTGCAATGCCAGCGGAGGACGGAAGAGGTTGTCAATCCCCTGGGACTGGAGTTACGGACACTTGTTAGCTGCCAGGTGGGTGCTGGGATTCAAACCTGGGTCTTCTGTAAGAACGACCAGTGTTCTTAACCACTGAGCCATCTCTCCATCCTCCATAAATAAAATATTTTTTTAAAAAAGAAAGGGGCTGGAGAGATGGCTCAGCAGTGAAGAGTACTGACTGCTCTTGCAGATGACCTAGGTTGGATTCCCAATGCCCACATGGCTGCTACAAACTGCCCTTAACTCCAGTTCCAGGGGACTCCAAAGCCCTCTTCTAACCTCTGCGGCATTGTACAACACAGGTGCAGTCACATACAGGCAGGCAATACACTCCTACACATAAAATAACAAATAAGATATTTTTAAAAATCACAGAAAAAGAAGCTGGATGTGGTGGTGTACGTCCCAGTACTCGAGGGAGAGGCTGGTTGGTCTCTGTGAGATCAAAGGTCAACCTGGTCTACGTAGTAAGTTCCAGGCCAGCTGGAAAATTAATTTATCCCAGGAAGGAATTTAAAAGTGAAGGGAAACAAGAGTCACGTTTATTTGTCATTGAACTAAAAATCTGAAAATAGTCTACATTTTCAATCATTGAGAAATGCCTAAACTATACTTGGGTGACTGTTATCACCCAAATAATTGTTGTCAAAGGATTGCCACAGTGACATTCAAACACGATATAGGTAGTTAGAGAGTAAGGAAAAGACTACGGGGCTAGATGAGGGAAAGGTAGGTCAGGCGTGCTCGCTCTTTTGCCTGAGCTTTAGAGCACATTCAATCCAGAGCACGTCTCTGAGGACGCTGCACGTGCTCTGAGGACGCTGCACGTGGGTGTGTGGTAGAGCAAGATGGCTTCCCTGGGGAGGCAGTGCGGCAGGAGGCAAAAGTGCTTGCTTTTCTCTCTCTAGCATCACAGGATCAACATGCTCCAGTGAAATCCTTCTTCTGCCAGATCTGGTAAGTAAAGGCGGAGGAGGCCTGAAATGTAACATATTCTCTGGGTTTTATTCCGCTCTTACAGTGATTCTTTTATATTTAGCTAAATTCTGTTATGGATATGAAACGAAATGCAGACTTGCTTCTTGATGCAGGAATTTGTATACGGATTGAGAAGAACAACAGTTTTGCGGACAAAAAAGATACTGAAAGAACTGAAAGGTAACTGTTACCCTCGTGACACATGCACCCCTGAATGTGATGTTGACTCTCAGATGACATGGTCTGAGGCCCGTTTTTCTTGCTTTGTGTTTTTCTCAGTTCAGTCACATTGAATTTTTTTAAGTAATTAAAAAAAATTTTTTTATGTGTATGAGTATATTGCCTGCATGTATGTAAGTGCACCCGTGTCATGCAATGCCTGAGGAGGACAGAAGAGGCTGTCGTATCCCCTGGAACTGGAGTTACAGTTGTTAGCTGCATGTGGGCATTGGATTCGAACCCAGGTCTTATGCAAAACAGCCAGTGTTTCTAACCACTGAGCCATCTCTCCAGCCCCACATTTAAATTTTTTTAATTCCTCATACATCTACCACTCCATTTGTAGGGATTTTGTTGCTGTTGTTTTGCATGTGAGATTGTACTGCTGTGCCTCCACCAATTTCTCCCAGCTCCTTCCCAATCTTAGATCTCAAATAATTTCCTCTGTTGACATTTTGAAATGTATTTCTAAAGGTGAAGTTCCCACTCATCTTCATGATGCTGAAGCTGTCCCATCTTTGACCAGTAGGAATGCTGTTCGGGTGGCTACACAGCCCCATGACACTGCCTGCATGGTCTTTGGCAACCTCCAAGAATCCCAGTTCCAAATGGAAGGAGATGGCAGAATTGAGACCCAGTCTGGATAAGGAAATGATCCTTAAACTGCAGGGACTACCAATGCTTGTGGAGGTTTTTAGTGTAGAGCTAGGAGATGTCATTTAAAAAGAAAGCATCCTTTATATTGGAAAGGACTACAGGCCACTAGGTACAGGTACTGTGAAGGATCAGGTCACAGGGCACACTACAAGGCTTGGGGTATGCAGCTAAGAGATGTACGGTCAGGCCAGTGAGGTGCTGGTGGAGAAATACTTGGATGTTTTATCAGGATTTGTTAATGGATTAACATTGGGGCATGATACACAGAGGACTGAAGAATGGCACAGTGATTTTGCCTGCAGTTGTTTATTGAGGCCCAGGAAGTTGGAGGGAAAGCATCTTCCTGGAGAAGTGCTTAATTGTGAGTCAATCTGAAATCTAAATCAAGATGGTATGAGTGTCGAGCTCTAGGCAAGAGCGGTCAAGATCCGCAATTAATATCTAGAACATCAGCAGATAATGACATCTAGAGCCCTTAGGGTGGACCAGCCTAGAAAAGCCCTTTGTGGCAGCTGGAGGGAAGCCGGAGCGCCAGCACAGATTTTCGTTAGTTTAGTTGGAGAAGGCCATCATTCCATTGACTAAAGGAGGAGGCAGGGTCATAGGAGTGAGGGCAGAAGGAAGGGATGAGCGAGGGGAGCAAGTGCCTGAGAGTGGCTCCCACAGCTCTAAGAGCTTGGGCTCAGTGGTCACAAATTGGGTGTCAGCAGAATAGAGGCCTGATTGGCAGACAGAGGAGAGTGGAGTCCCTCTGGGGCATTTGGACTCTAAGGGAAGGTGGGGTGGCATGTCCTAGGAGCCTCCCACCTTTGGATCTTATGAGAAAAGGGAAGGGTCTGGCTCTCCTTCAAGGGCCAGGCTAAGGCTAGGCCTTAGCACCTCTTTTCCTTAGCTACGCAACTGGATGAACATGCTTACCTCAAGTCAGGTCCTACATCAGCCAAGACAGTAGCTGAAGTTTTGAGTTTAAACTAGTTCTTTGAGAGGAAAAGGGACAATTTAGAGTTGGTTAGACTTGGCAGCACTTGGTGTACATGTATGATGCAAGACCATTCTGCCTGTTCTCTTCGTAGCAGAAGGTAAAAGTCAGACTGAGTTTGGAGCATGGTCAGGAGCAAGTCATGGAATGGGTTATGTTTTACTCTCACAGTGACACAAGCAGCTCCCCATCAAGCCTCTTATTCAGTGAATAGTGAGTAGACTTGCCCTGGAGTACTGAAATTTCAAGCTAACCTTCCCTGGATCTTTGGGGAAAACAAACATGTCTAAACACTTTTAAGTTGGGTCTGTCTTGGGAATTGGCAGTGGAGCATTTCCCCAGCCTGTTTGCAGGGGGTGGACTGAGTGTGTCAGGACCAGATCTAACCACCTGGATCTCTTCAGTGGAGGTGCAGAGAAAGAGCCAAGGAAGCACTACTCCCCATTCCGGATCCTCCCCTACTCAGTTCATGTCCGTAGCACTGCCCAACCAGAACCAGAGCCTTGCTGTCTAATGCTGGTTGAGAAGATTCACTCTGGTTATGAAGGTAAGTCAGGATGAGCTGCATTCAGTAAGGCAAAAAGGCCAGCAGTCAGACAGGAGCTTAGTCTGAGAACAAGAAAGATTGCTTGAGTTTCCAGTTTGGGTTGTAAGCTCCATAAGCATTTCAGCTGGTTTTCACTGACATCCCTGTTTACTAGCCTTGACTTCTTGTGTGGTTATCACCGACGGACACAATGTGGTCCCACGTCTGAGCCTTGGATTTGGACAGGTACATTGTACTCTGGTCCCTTTCTGTGCTGATGACCTGTTCAGTGGCCTTTGCTGCTTTCTTGCTTGAAATAACAGCACTAAAATTATAGAGAGGCCATAAGAATTAATTTTGCCAGGCACCACATACCTTGGGAAGATGTGGCATGAGGATCACAAATTGGAGACTAACCTGGGCTACATAACAAGTTCAAGACTAGCCTGAGCTACATCAGGAATAGCTGTCTTGAAAACCCAAGAGCTGGAGGTAGTACAATGATAAGAGTACTTGCCTAGTTGTGCAAGTTCAAGGCCCTGGATTTAGATCCTCAGGTCTCAGGGCAGGGATGGGGGGAATCATGTTTTAGAAGTGTTTTGAAATGTCTACGTATTAAAAAAAGACCAATCTAGTAAAAAGAGAAGCAGTTTTACACATGTTAAATACCTAAGAAGTGCATCAGCACTACCATGAGCGTGGCTGGGGTAAGCTGAGGCAGTAGTAGATAGATGGAGTTGTTTATGTTTTGTATATTCCCAAGTGGCTCCAAGCACTGGGTCCTTTACTGCGTTCATAGGTTTCTTGCAATTGACATCATGCTCATGCAACTATGATATTACCAGTATCTCAGATGATTCCCAGAGCTTTGCAAAGCCCCTGTTAGAGCAGAATTGACCTGACTGGATGGTGCAATTATATTATGTAATAAATTGCTACACATCACAGTAAATCGTGCTGAACTTTCCACTCCAGCTTTATCTGTTAGATATTCATGATGAAGAAACTAGCCACAAAGTATGCCACAGATTTTCTCTATTTAAAATTAACTTTAGGGCTGGAGAGATGGCTCAGCAGTTAAGAGCACTGGCTGCTCTTCCAGAGGATCTGGGTTCAGTTCCCAGCACACACATGGTGGCTGATAACCATCCATAACTCCAGTTCCAAGGGATTCAACACTCTTCTGATCTCTGGGCATTGCACAACGTGGGTGTACTTATATACATGCAAGCAATACACTCATACACATTAAATAAAAATAACAAAGAAAATATTTAAAATTAACTTTAGTAAGCAGCACATTTTGACCTGTTTAAAATTCAATTAATAATAAAAATCATCATTTTACTGTAGCTTTGATTTCTTGAAGGCCAGACCCCTTAGCTAGATCTGCCATTTCATGCAGACATTTTATTCCCTTTTTAATATGCTCCGTAGCCAGTTAAGTATCAGATCTTTGCCCTTCAATGAGCCTTTCTGTTTGTTACATAGCTCCTCGAATCCCAGTGGATAAAAGAATTTTTACCACAACGCACACCCCAGGATGTGTGTTTCTTGAAGTAGATGAAAAGTAAATACTTCTTTAAGCCTAAAGAAACTTGCTTTTAAAGATAAAGGTATTTAAAAGTTTGCATTATATTTTGCATGCTGCTGTATATTGTGAAACTGAAACCTGCTTGATATTATTTACAATGCAATTTATTTGTGTTGTCTAAATCTTTTAATTGTTAAAATTACATTATGTATATATGCTTATATAAGTAATTGTTAAAATTACATTACTTTGTGTGTGTATATATGCTTGTATGTTGTGTGTGTGGAAGTCAGAAGACAACTTTCAGGAGTTGGGTCATACCATCCACCATGTGGGTCCCAGGGATCAAATGGGACCATGAGGTTTGGTGGCAAGAGGCTTTACCCATTGAGCCATCTCGCTGGCCCAGTGGACTAAAATTTTTAATGTCAATATCTTCCATGTATACTTCTAAGAGGGATTTACCTGAAACCCTCTTAGGTTTCACAGTCCAGGACCCACCTGCCCAGGAAACAGCACTGACCACGGCAAACTGGTCTTCCCACATCAATTGAGACAATAAAGACAGTCCCTCATGCATATGTCCACAGACCATCCTGATAAAGAAAGTTACTCAATTGAGACTTTTTTTCAGGTGACTCTAGGCTGTGTCAAGTTGATAGTTAACTCAAACTTGGACAGGGCCTGAATGAGGCACAGCCCAGTGACCTAACTTATTTCTACTAGGCGATGCCTACTAAAGGCTTCACTTTCCAATAGTGCCATGGGCTGGGGACCAAGCTTTCAACCCATGAGCCTTTGAGGGACAGTCAAAGTCCAAACTATAGGCATGCTATATAAACTCATAGCTGCCTTTTATGATTGAAAATCCGTCCTGGGACTGGAGAGATGGTGCAGCAGTTAAGAGCACTGTCTGCTCTTGCAGAGGACCTGGGTTTGAGTCCCAGCACTCACATGGCAGCTAACAGTTATCTGTAATTCCAGTTCCAGGGGATCCGACACCCTCTTCTGGCATCTTCAGGCTTTGCATGACATGAATGTACTTATACATGCAGGCAAAACCCTCATGCACTTAAAATAAAAATAAATAAATAAAAACCCTTCCCGTGTTCCGATGTAGTCTTTCAACGTGGCAGCATGATGGGGAGCCAAGGCCCTGGAAGAGCAGGTTGAAAAGCCATTTCCCTGCTGCAGAGGTTCAGAATGAGGGTGCTCACAGCGAGCCTGCGGGCCTGTCGTTAGTGCGCTAACAGTTTCACTGCAGCATGTCAGGTGAGCACCAGCACTGCCGGAATGTCCCGTCTACCCAGCGCAGGGACTTCTGTGTGCTACTCTCATAAATGTGTTAATGAACATGTTTTCATTTCTTTCCTTATTTAGATGAAGTTAGGGGTCAGTGGTGGTGTGGTGTTCTGTTTTGCAGAGAAGGAAATAGAGTCCTTGCACACGCGAGGCACACGGTCTACCACTGAGCTATATCACCAGTCTGTGTAGTGTTTGAAATATATAACGTAGAATTGCTTACTTGCTCAGCATGGCAGACTTCCTGTGTTGTGTTGCCTCTCTCCCAGAGCAGTGCCTTTGCTGGGTTTCCTACCTCAGGATCTGATTGGTACATCAGTCTTAGCAAACTTGCACCCAGAAGATCGTCCTCTGATGGTTGCCGTGCACCAAAAAAGTAGGTCCTGTTCCTTTGTGGGAGGAAATTATTTACTACTGATTTGTTCTAATTTTTCATTAGAGTTTAGCCTTTAGCCAGATAAGCAGTGAATTATCAAAACTGTTAAAGCAATTGTTTCCTGGTTGGAGTACTCAGAAATTCACAGATAAATGACCAAAGCAGCACTCAGTTGGTGTCTGAAGTCTGTTCTTGTTGTGTCATTTTATGCAGTCTTGAAGTATGCAGGCCGTCCTCCCTTTGAACATTCACCTGTCAGATTTTGTACTCAAAATGGAGACTATGTCATACTGGATTCCAGCTGGTCCAGCTTTGTGAACCCATGGAGCCGGAAGGTTTCTTTCATCATTGGCCGACATAAAGTTCGAACGTAAGTTAATCAGCTTTAGTATTTTCTAAACAATATATTTTACTACTTGGGGATGTAGCCTAGTGATAGAGCGTTTGTTCAGCATGCAGGCCACCTTGGGTTCAATACCCAGCACTGCAACCAAAACGTTGCTGTTTTTAACTGAATAATCTTAAACAGTTGGCTGCTTCTTGAAGCACTAGACCCGTGAACCAAGTGAAGCACACCTTTTCTTTCAATACTTTTGAAAAGCAGTTTGGCGATAATGTTATCAAGAGGCTTAAACCATGTCAGACTTAGAGTAGCTTAAATGTCCAACATTAAGTAAATTCTGGAGCATTTGTTTAATGTATTATTAGTAAAAAAATTTTGCAGAAATTGCATGATACAGTGTCTAAAATGCTTGATGAGGTTGATGTAAAATGCAGCATAATTGTGATGAAAACATTCACAGGAGCAAGGAGTGTAAAAGAGACCGGAGGAGACACAACGTAAATACCAGCTGTATGTGGTTGGTGGGCAGTGGGAGTGTGGGGAAGGGGCTTAGCGTTCACTTCCCCCCTCTGCCTTCTGTTTTAAAGACCTCTTCACTGACCATGTGAGCTTGTACCAGCCGTCTCACGGCAGACCCCAATCTTCCTAACGCACCTCTTTTCCTGCCAGCACGGCTAACTAGCATGCTGGGCTGTTACTCCTTGTCTGTTAAACGGTCATGGGACATGAATCTGGAACAGCCTCGCCTGCTGCTCCAGCAGCGAAGATACACGGTCCCTTGAATTCTTGGTTCATTTTTAATCGACCTGGAAGCTGGAAGGTTTTCACTCTGGCATCCCCCCCGCCCCCCTGCCCCCGTCTCTCGCTCTCATCACATTCTCATTCCCTTGCTGTCTCTTCCTGGCTTGTTAAAGCACGGAAATTCTACTTCAGTGTCCTGCTGAGATTAATAAATTATGCTTTTGGGGGTTCTTTGTTACTGCAGTTTTGGGGCAAGTCTCAGCCAGATAGCCCAGGTTGGCCCCAAATTTGTAATCCTCCTGCCTCAGCCTCCCGAGTGCTAAAGTTACAGATGTGCCTCTCTGTGCTTCCCTTATGTTTCTTGTATTTTGTTTTGCGTAAAACTTAGGAGCAGTAATTCTACAATGAAACATACTTTGTCACGTCTTAGAGACCATGAAAAACGGTTTCAAGGTTGCTCTCATTTCTTTGTACTCTAAGATTTGGTCTTTCCACTGCAGGTCTGTAACCTTAATGGGAGAAATGGGTGCCTTGTCATAAGACTAGCTGATCTAGAGCACCAGCTAGATATCAGCATAAAACACAGGACTGCCAAGTATGTGCTACCCGTGTAGGTCAGACAGAAAGCACACTTTTTTCTCCAGTAGAAAACCTATGGTAAAATGCAAAGAACCAGGTGTCGCTTTAGTGGGAGTGTGAAGAGCTGCTGAGTAAGAGTTTCTTCATCATCTGTTGCTCATCTAGGGGGTTGCTGCTGGACCTGTGTGCCTATCCCAGGCAGTGGAAGAGATCATCCTTGGGGTTCCCAAGTTACCCTTTCAGTTGTTTGATTAAATACGTATGTGAAGTTACTTTACATAGAGCAGGTACCCGGAAGTCTCTCAAGTGCTTGTAAACTTACATCACTGTGGGCTGGAGAGATGGCTCAGCGGTTAAGATCACTGGTTGTTCTTGCAGAAGACCCGGGTTTGAATCCCAGCACCCACATGGCAGCTAACAACTGTCTGTAACTCCAGTTCCAGGGGATCCAATGGCCTCTTCTGTCCTCCATGGGCATTGCATGATACAGATGCAGTTACCTACATGCAGGCAATACACTCATACACATAAAATAAAAATAACAAATAAAATATTTTTTAATTAAAAAAATAATTATACCACTGTTGATGTCTAAAGATTCAAGATAGGGCTAGGCTCACACCTTTAAACCCAGCACCCAGGAGGCAGGCCTGTGGATCTCTGTGAGTTTGAGGCCAGCCTGCATAGTGAGTTCCAATGGGGACTACATAGTGAGACCCTGTCATTAAAAAAAAGACCCAAGATTATGGGAGGGAAGGACCTCAGAGTCTAGTAGGTACTAATCTCTTAGAAGTAATAGTTGCCCACTTAAAAAAATGATGTCTAATGTATATATTTCTTCAAGTATTTGTAGATTTTGCCTACTCTGCTAAGGCACTGCGCTAGATCCTAAAAATGGTTCCATACTTTCACAGACCCCGCATTATAATAATAAAGACAGTAAATAAAAACGACACTGCAGCTGTGGAGCTAGAGCGTCGGGAAGTGTGGCAGGAACAGGGAGGAGCTGTGCAGCACTGAGCAGGGCCCTGCGTCCTTTCACGCGGTCTGGGCAAGCAGCTTGCTGCCGGTCCCCCTTACAGATGAACCCCGGGATCCCCACTGAGGAAGCTGAGCGTGAAAGCAAAGGCCCAGTTTTCTTCCTTTCGTAGCCCTGGTTCCCTCGAGCTTAGCAGCCTGACACTTCGTGGTAACATGGCACCTTTACCACTAGTTTGTGACCATTTTTTCTGATCTCTACATAGTAATCAGTTCGGTTAAAAACAGTTTGGTTTTGTAGAAATTTCTACAGCTAGGAATATCTAAATGTCATAAAGTAGTCCTCCATGTTACAGTTTCACTTGGAAATTAAGAGTTCAAGTATGTTTGTCAGATTTGCAGACTCCTGTTCGCAGGACATACTCACCCATGCCTTCCTTCACTCAGCCACATGCTCATTCTTTTAACAGAGACTCAGTGCTGCCTGCGATGGAGAAGGCGCTGTTCTTGGTGATGTTGCTTCACATTAACATACAGAACCCCAGAGAAAATCGTGGTTTTTTTCTTACAAATACCCATCTGGGGGATTGTTGGTGGGTCTATGGCCCCTCCTCACCTTGGAGATATGAGTGAACAAGCAGACAAAAATCCCAACTCCAGAGGTTATGGTAGTGGTAAGCAGATGGGGACAGATGACCAGCCCATGGTTAGATAAAGTGCACAGTGCAGATTGTAAGGCAGGGTGCAGTCTGCCGTTTATATTCAGTGTGCCTGTGCCTGTGGTGTAGCTGCTACGGGGTACAGAGTTGAACTGGAAAACGCTGCGTAGTCATGGCGAGATACACAGGATGAGTAAAAGGTCCCTAAACATGGAGATTCTGCTGGTTACCTCCATGGCACTTGTAGCATCCTAAGATTTTCTGACAGTGCCTGCAGTCCTTGGGACAGTGAGTCTCTGGGTAACAGCTGCATGTGTAGGTTGTGAGGAGCAGCAGGCTAGCATGACCACAAAAGGAAAGCACTGGCTCTGTGCTCAGATAGGTGGGTTCACATGGGCTCTGGTGACTGCATCCACCCAGGACTTCACACCACAAGCACTCTACCACTGGATCACATTCCCCACCTCCTCTCACACTAAGTGTCAGGAATGAGTCCTATGTCATAAAACGCAGTGAGGTGAGGTGATGCACCTGACTCAGTATTCCTCATTGGAACCTGCTCCACAGAGGTCCCAAGAGATAGGTTTGGGTGGTGGCAAAGGTGTGAATCTTGAGCCTAGACTAGTCTCTTTATGCATCTCCATTCACCTCTTGATAACCAGGAAACCTGGAGAAGGTTGAAATTCCATTGAAGATGATGCTTGTAAAGAAACTGGAATATTGCCTGGCACCCCTATGCTTTTGAAGGTGTTATTCTCATAGTGTATTCTAAAAGCTAACACAATTGTGCCGCATAGTTAGTGGTCCTAGTAAATACGAGTTTCTTCTTGTTTTGTTTTCAACTTTGTTGACATTCATTGTATTCATGTAGTAGATTTTTTTTATGTTACTATATGTGTGGGTGTGTGTATGTGTGTGTGCGTGCGCGTGCGCTTGTATGTGTATGCAGGTACATAGATAATAGGACATATGGAGCTCAGAGGGCAGCTTCTGTTTTCTCCTTCTGTAGTGGTTTCTGGGTTCCAGAGATCAAACTCAGGCCAGACTTGCACAATCAGAGCTTTTACCCTGAGCCGTCTCTGAGCCATCCAGGTAGTCTGACCATAAATGGGATATTAGTGTTAGAGCAGCTGCATATCCACCACTAGGGTGGGCTGCATGGCCATACTTTTCAGATAGCACAAGCAATTAGCAACTCTATACATTCAAGGTTGTTTGGCAACTTCAGAGTCTTAAAAGTCCTACAAAAGTTTACTCAGTCAAATTTTGAAACCCATCATTATTGAAGATATTTTAGGAGTTAAGGAAGAACTTGTTACTGGTACTTATTATACAAATGTATTTACTGACTAGGTAGTGAATTGCATAAAGATGAATGCTATAGAGAAACAGAATTCTATTCCCAAGGGCATGCCTGCAGTTTCAGTTCTTTGGTGGTAGAGGCAGGAGGCTTGCAAGTGCCAGGCTAGCCTGGGCCTTGTAGCAAGACTTTGTCTTAGAAAACCAAGGGCTGGGGATGTAGCCAAGCAGGAGAGTATTTGCTAGCATGTGTAAGTCCCCAGGTTCTGTCCCCAGCACCGTGGGGGTTGAGGGCTGTTATGGTCTCTTACTTCTTTGGGAATTTTAGCTGTATCAAGAGTCAAGGAATTGTTTTATAAAAGCTCTGCTTACTTGTTAGTCTATTGAAAGCGTTTGATGTTCATCTCACGAAGCTCTCAGCTGTCTGACTCATCCTTCCACTTGGCATTTTGTAGGACTCCACTAAGTGAGGATGTTTTTGCTGCCAGAATAAAAAGGGCTAACAATGATGACAGAGACATAACAGAATTACAAGAGCAGATTCACAAACTTCTCTTGCAGGTAAAGTGAGAGATTTTAAAAAAGAAACAGCATTTCTGTCATTATATTCTGTGTTAGTGCTCATTCCTACGAGGTCACGTCACAGAAGAAAGCTATGAAGGGAGGGTAGAAACTTGTACGAACCCTGAGCGTCTGTACCGTAGAAGCTGCTGTCTTTCTCTTTGAGTCCTTGCATTGGATTCTGTTAACTTCTCTTCCTTATCCCTGTGAAATATATAAACATTGTTAGCTGAACCGCATTTCACTTCAATACAGCAAATGCAGTTGCAGCAATAGGACAGATGCTGAGAGGATTCTTATGTTCCAAACACCAGGTAGAGAAGGAATATGTTGGTCTCAGTATCTCTGTATTATAAGGTAAGAGTATGAAATTGCCTGTTAAAAGGACTTCGGGTACCAGGCATCGTAGTGCACGCCCTTAATACCAGCATTCCAAGGCAGTGAGTTCTAGGCCAGCTGGGGCTACAGGGAGACCCTGTCTCAAAAAGACCGCTGAATGTCACATAGAGTGGCTGTTAGCCCAGTGTCTCCTATATCCTATAACCAGGTCCATGAAATGTCTGTGGAGTTCTTTTTTTTTTTTTTTTTTTTTTTTTCCGTCTTTGAGACAGGGTTTCCTTGTAGCCCCAGCTGGCCTGGATTCGCTATGGAGATCAGACTGGCCTCGAACTCCCCAGAGATCTGCCTGCCTCTGCCTCCCAAGTGCTGGAATTAAAGGGTGCACCACCACGCCTGGTGTGGAGTTCTTTTTTGAAAATCCATAGTTTTGTTTAAAGTATTCTGTCTATTCTAACCCTAGCATAAAGAACTAAGGGTTTATTTTAATGGTTTTAAAAATCAGGCTATGGCATCTGAGAAGAACTTATTGCTGTAGTGCCCATCTTGACTAGAAAATAGAATTTGCCCTTGAGAATTAGGGCTAGCAGCATCAAACTACCGATACCTATGTAGTTTAGGATTTGGGAAATTCATACTTTTTAATGATTTTAGTCTAGAAGCTCCACAGTGACTATTGTTACTGTTTAGATAGCGCAGGACTGAACGGGCCCCCTTTGTCCTAGCCAGTCCACATGAGTGCGTCCAGCAGCTACGGGAGCCTGGGCGGCAGCGGCTCGCAAGAGCAGCAAGTCAACATCACGTCTTCCAGTGAGTCAAGTGGACACTGCGTGGAGGAAGCTCAGAAGGAGCCGGTGTGTGGCTGATGTGCTCTGTGAGATGCTGTGTGCTCCTTTTGTTCTCTGTGCCGTGTCAGCGCTGGCCTGCACCTGGTGATATCACAGCATTTGTTTGCCATTTGGTGACAGACACCTCAATCTGTTTTAGACAATTATTTGAATGATTCAGAAAAATATCTCTAAAACCAAAGTATGGCACATGCCTGTAATCTCAGCCGCTGAGGTGAAAGCTGGGGGTTGTGATTTGAGGCCAGCCTGGTCTACGTGGTGAGGCTCTGTCTCTCAAAAACAGGTCATCTTTGGAAGGGAATACTTGGATTAATTGAATTCTTTCATAAAGATCACTGTATTGTAAGTAGATTTGCTTCCAGCTTTGCTGTTAGCAGTTGCCATGGCACAGTGAGAAACCGAGTGAAAGTGAGGACTGTACTCTCTGGCATGATGTCTTCAGAGAACAGGAGTTAACTGTGTTTCGTATATTGTGTCTTTTAGTACACATTTCTGTACCTTTTTAAACCTATTTTACCATTTTTTTTCCTATGACCTTGGAGCAGATTTATGCCAGTGTAAACAAGATCAAGAATCTGGGTCAGCAACTCTACATCGAGTCAATGACCAGATCATCAGTAAAGTCAGTGATGGGGACATGCATGGAGCTGCAGGGTGGTGGTGAGTCAGGACAGTGGCCTTTGGCCACTTCCCACATCTGCCCTCTTCACAGAGAGCTTTGTACGTGGCCTCAAGCACACAACCCTGAGCTCATGTGAGCTTTTCATCATGATTTGCCCAGAGCGCAGTAGCAGTGTTGATGGCAGTAGCGTTGGCAACAGCATAGAGCCACTTGAAAGCGGAGTGGTGGTGAGACATCATTCTGGGATGCTTTTACTGAGGAGTTCGCTTCTGTCGAGCATGCGTTTTCTTCCCTGTCTAAGTTGTGTGTAATCCGGAAGGAGCTGACTGAATACATTTTAGATGGTAAAGAGTACTGAAGTAATCCTTTTCTGTCATTTCAAACAAATGGAGAATATGATCTAGATAGATTGAAAAGTATTGATTGGGCTTTTTTATTGAGATAGGAATCACTCCAAAAGAACTGATCAGTTGTATTCAGTGACATTGTTTTGAAAAGTTAACCTAGCCACATAGCTGGCAAGAGGCCTACAGCATAGGGATCTGATCAACTGCCTTGCTAGGCAAACACTCTTCCACTGAGCCACACCACTGGTGTACGTTGACTTATTTATTTACTTGCTTACTTTTTTTGTTGCTGTTGTTCTCTTTGAGACAGGGTCTCCTTGTAGCCCCAGCTGTCCTGGAACTCACTATGTAGACCAGGTTGGCCTTGAACTCACAGAGATCGCCTGCCTCTGCCTCCTGAGTGCTGGGATTAAAGGCATGCACTACCATGCCCAGCTACTTGCTTACTTTTAATTTTACACTTTTAAACCTAAGTAGCCTTCCCTTCATTTTTCTCCTTGAATGTTAACATGGTTTTAGAAGTGTGGTGGATTTTGAGCATATAAATTTTACAAATAGTATCTGTCATCGTTAGACGTAGATATTTTATATAGTAGGGTTGACATTTACTTTCTAAGACCAGTACTAACAGAAATAGTAGGTAGGTTTTTTTTCAGGTCCTGGCATGATTTTAAAACATCAAATTAGGGGCTGGGGCAATGGCCCAGGGGTAGTGTTTGTTGTGTAGGCATAAGGACCTGAGTTTGGGTCCCTGGAACCCATGTAAAAGCTGGGTGTGGCAGCACATGCCTGTACTCTCATCGCTGGGGTCTGGAGACAAGTGGATCCCAGGGACTTGCTGGCCAGCCAGCCTACCCAAAACAGCAAGCTCCAGGTTCAGTGAAAGGTCCTGCCTCAAAAAATAAGGTGGAGAGCAACAGAAGTTACCTAATGTTGACCTCTGGCCTCTACTCACATACACACAGGCAGATACTCCCTCCTTCCCCAACATGAGCAAAAAACCCCTCAAATCACTGTTCACATAGGGCATATTGCCTGTAGCCTTAAGGACTGTACAGGTATGTCAAAATTTCTGAGATTGTAACTTACAAATAAGATATTTAGTGTGGAAAGCTAGGAAATCCAGGCTCAAAATATGGAAGGTTCAGTTTTCAATGAGCCCTGTCTGCTTCCAAGAGCAAGCTTGAGCCCCACATCCCACAAAGGGGAAGAACTCTCTACTTGGCAGCCTAGCAAAGCAAGAGCTTCACTACTTCTGCACCCCTCCCCGTCCCTCCCCTGTGGTTCTTTGGAGATGGACTCTTGCTGTGTCATCCAAGTAATGTTAAACTCCTGAGCTAAAGTGATCCTCCTGCACCAGCTTCAGCCTCCCAAGTGCTGGAACCAGTGCGTGCCTCCGTACACCCCTCAGCCCTTTATAAGATCACTGCTAGTCTTATTTGTGAGGGATGTGATGGTACCTTTGCTTTCTGCTTAGGAATACAGGAAGAGCATCACTTAGAATGAAAAAGGCAACAAATTTATAACCTCCTTTGACCCCCCTAGAGTACTGAGTATTAGCCAGCAGTCCTAAAATCTAAGCAGAGACTGATGCTTAGGAGGAGGAGTGAGCGGCAAACACTGGATTACTGTGCACTGTCTTACTAAATCTAGCAGCTTGCAAGAGCCCCTCCCTGAGGCACAGTGCAAAAGAGTGAACACAAAGCAGGCTCTCTGGCAAATCAGCACAGTCTAGCTAGAGGAATTACTTCAAACTTGATCTAAAGTTTTATTAATTCAAGCATAGGCCTCCTCACAGGGTTTGACATGCTCAGTGTCTAATGTCCTGTAAAGGTTACTGAATTTTCAACAAGAAGTTATGAAGCTTAATGAAAAGCAAGGAAGAAAAACTCCCAAAAGACTTAATTATCAGAACAAAGTTCAGTACACAGCAATGGAAATACCTGACCATGTAAAATAGCTAGAAGAGCACATTGCAAGGCTCCTGGACAAAGTGCACTGTGAACAAGACCAGCACCAAGAAGGAGCCTAAAAGGGAGGGTCGGGTGGTAATTAACGCCAGAGATGTTGTCTGTCCTGGTTTCTGGTGTCCTACTAATTTGTCTCTGAAATTTAAAAAAATTCACATAACCAAGTTAAAAAAGACTAAAATTTACTGATGTTTGTATATGCTGCAAAACAAATTGGAAAAATGTCAGACATGAAGAATGTTTTCATCAATACACCCAAAGAAGAATCAATCAACTCCAAGGTAGATTACTTCAGAAATTACTCCAACTGAAACAGAAACAGTGGTGCGTACTAAGAGTTTGGGGCCATAGCAAGCTGCTGAGAGGAGACTGAGTGGGATCCTAGAAGAGGTAGCTACAATCAAGAATCTTCTAGGGATTCAAAGAGCATCAAGTAATGTTTTTAAAAGCAGAAACCTGCCTGGACATATCCTGTCCAAACTGCTGAAAACAGAATCAGATTCCATCTTAACGGCAGCACAAGGCAAGAAAAGACTAGATATGAACCAGAGGTAAAAATTATAATAAATGTGTCTCTAGAAACCTTTTCTACTAAAAAGACAAGTACGTCTTCGAAGAAAAAAACTGTCAATACAGAGTTTTATATCTAGTGGAAAATCTTCCAGAAGCAAAAGATTTGTCAAACAGTAATTGTCAGAATTTTAACAGCAGACTTATTTACAAGAAAGGCTAATGGAGCATCTTACATCAGAAGATATGACAAGGCAAAGACTTGGCCACACCAAGGATTGAAAAACACCGGAAGTGGAATAAAAGGAAATAAGTTTTATTCTTAATTGCTCTGAAAAGATAACTGGCTAGAGCTGAAATAGTATTCTGTATTTGTAACATACATAGAAGTAAAATATATGGTAATAGGGGCTGGAGAGATGGCTCAGCAGTTAAGAACACGGGTTGTTCTTGCAGAAGACCCGGGTTTGAATCCCAGCACCCACATGGCAGCTAACAACTGTCCGTAACTCCAGTTCCAGGGCCTCCAACAGCCTCTTCTGTCCTCTGCAGGCATTGCACAACACGAGTGCACTTATCTACATGCAGGCAATACATGCATACACATAAAATAAAAATAATAAAATATTTTTAAAGTGGAGGGAGAGAACCAACTCCACATGGTTGTCCTCAGATCTCCATACATGTACTATGACATGTACATGCCCACTCCACCTTCCAACCACACATCATACACACATAGTAATGAATAAAGTATTTTTTAAGAGATTTGAGATTGTCCTAATTCGCTCTGCCCAGTTAACAGCGTAGAACATACTTTTCTCAAGGACACAGGGAGCATTCATCAAAATTGACCACATTCTGGGCCACAATGTAAACTTTTAACATTTTTGTAAAAAAACGGAAATCATACAGACTAGTTCTCTGACCATTATGACTTAAAGTAGCAAAGGTGTCTAGAAAACTGCCAAATGCTTAAAAATTAAGGAACATCCTTTAGCCCATTAGGCTTGAAGAGGACACTTTAGGGAAATAAGAACATTGTGAATCGAATGAAATGGAAAGAACAAAAAAGTACGTAAGCCATCCCTAAGCAGTACTCACAGGGACATTTACAGTGTCGTTTGCTAAGTGACAAAACGAAATGACCTCACATCAGTAATCCAAGACTTGTCCTTGAGAAATGAGGAAAGAGGGGACTGGAGAGACAGCTCAGCAGTTAAGAGGCATATTGCTCTTGCAGAAGACCTGGGATTGGTTCCTAGCACCCACATCTGGGGGCTCACAACTACCTGTAACTCCAGTTCTGGGGAATCTGATGCCCCCTGTCCTCCACAAATACTTGCATGTACATAGTATACATAAACACACAGACTAACATTCATATACAGTAAATAGTCTTTAAAAAAAGAAATGAGAAAAATTAAGTGAAAAGTAGGAAGAAGGAAAGAAATAAACACCAGATTTCAATGGAAATTAATACATCATTAGCTTTATTAGACAGGCTGGGCTTTATCAAAACTGAAAACTCCTTTTTTAAAAGACATTGGTAAGACAGTATTGGGAATTTAAATAATTTCAAATTATATAGACACTATAGGACTTATATCCAGACTTATATATAAGAACTCTTCCAAAATGTGTATCAACAGCAAGTAGCATAGGAAAAAAAAGTTCAACCTCATTAGGCAGAAAGAAATCTAATCCCGTGAGGTACTACTGAATACCTGTTAGCATAGCTAAATTAAAAGGAAGACGAGCATCCCTGAGAATACTTAAGCATGGACTAGGATGCAGGGTAGTCACAGTACTTGTATGTTACTGGACATGATATAGGATTGCACAGCCCCTTGTAGACACCCTGACAGTCCCTGTAAATCTAAATATGCTTTTACGTAGGACTGGGAAGTTCATTCCTAGTTGTTCAAGTGAAGCACCTTCAAGTTCACACCCAAACCTGCCTGGAATATACACGCCACTCCAAACAGTGAACCTAGATAGCTCCACATCATTCAGCAAATGAATGCATCAGTCATGGTACATCAGTACCACAGAATACCATGGCAGTGAGGAGAAAGGAGTCTGATAGCAACAGTGTAGGCGAAAGGCCATTACTTAGGAGCAGCAGCTAACTCTGCTGTGAACAGTGCTTGATGGAGTCTTTCCTAAACTCTCTCCCGTGCTTGGTTTCCATGGTGCTGCTTCTGTCCCCTACAGGAGGTTCAGATGCTCTAGTGTGAAGTCCTGGAGGCTTTTTCCTTCTCTACACCTGTGCCGATAACCACATTTGATCATTTAAATTCAAATTAAATACAAATAAGTACGATGAGCATCTTATTACTCCTTAGTAGAATAGCCACATTTCAGCTGCTTTAGTAGCTACATGTTGCCCTTGGGCCAGCACAAAGACAGGGCAGTCAGTCAGCACAGAGGGCCTGCCGGACACAGGTGCACCTGCGCTTCCATTGCACCACACGAGAAGCCATGGCTTTGGTCGTCCTGCAGAGTAGCTGTGCAGGTGTGCGGCGGGCAGGTGGTGCACGGGGTTTTGTCTGACAGTTTGCCTTGAAATACTTGTTTCATTTTATAAACTACTGATAGAATCATTTTGTATAACATGCTTTTATGCATTATTTTATTCACTTATTGTGGGGGGTGATATATTTCTGTCTCAGTACATTGAGAGCTGAGCTCATGTTTAATAGCTGCATAGTATTTTATTACTGTGTATGTCCTGAAATACCATGACTTAATCTGCTGAATATTTTGACTGTATATCCTTTCATTTTCTTCCAGATAAGCAAAAGGACTTTGCTTCTTCCCAGACATTGAAAAATAAAAGTATGTACACCGATTCTTGGGGAGATTTAAGGAAAGTCCAGCCTAGCCCGTCCTATCAACAAATTAACTGTATTGATAGAGTCATCAGGTAGAAGACACAAGTTTAGTGACTTGTTAATTTTAGCCAAAAGCATACCTTGTCACCATGAGCCTTAATAGAATTTTAATGGATGTTTAGTAGGTATTTCATGCTATAAATTGATAGGTATTTATGGAGTACCTACTACATATAGCTCACATTTTTTTTGAACTTTATGGAGAGTGCAAAAATTTAGACTGTGCATCTCTGTGAGGGAGCTGGAGGATAGTGGGGAAAACCTGCGGTCACCGAGATTACGTGTAAGGGTGAAGACCAGTTTGACACACAGTAAAAGAGGTGTTACAACCCAGTGACCCAGGCTGAGGTGGAAGGTCAGGAAAGGCTTCCTGAACAAACAGTGCACAAAGTATCCCAATCCTGAGTGGCTTAAGGAAAGCCCAGAGGTGGGAAATGGCACGGTGTGGCCAAGTAAGAAGACAGGACCTGATTCTGTTGTTGTAGATACCTGAAGAGCTACAGCATCCCAGCTTTGAAAAGGAAGTGTATATCCTGTACAAACACAGCTTCTTCATCTTCAAAAGAGGACAAGCAGACCCACAAGGCGATGACATCCCAGCACTGCAAGGTAACAGGACAGCCTTCAGGGCTGGATTAAAAGAGTGCTGTGTCCATTGCATTCTGTTTTTGACTTCTTGGCTTTAGTTATTTCATCATACCCATATTATCCCTTTATCCCCAGTGGGATACAGTGACATCTGTAAACTAAATCCTTGCGCTTCCTGTTAGGAGTTTTCACAGTCATTTTCTCATACATGACCAGTTGCTGGACAGATCTCAGCCAGACCGGAACAAGACATGCCAGCAAATGGACCGTCCACAGTTGCTGAAGGAGGTGCTGTGCGAACCCTGTCCACCGCAGCACTGAGCTTGGGGTCGAACATAAGCCAGTGCAGCTACAGCAGCACCAGTGTCCTTGTCCCACCCCCAGAGTCAGGTACCACCTCACCTTCTAATGAGGAAACACAATACCATTTGCCTAATTATCACTTTTAACCACTTTTCCCTTTCTTTAATTCAGTTAGGCTAGTTAGGGAACATCACCATGTCTGTATTGGTTACATGTTTTAGGCTGCATTTTGATTGATTGAGTGAGTGAGTGAGTGAGTAAGTGAGCGAGCTAGGATCTCTCCATAGCCCCAGCAGGCTTGGAGCTTCATTTGTAGACCAGGCTGGCCTCCATCTCACAGAGATCTGCTGGATTTAAAGGTGTGCATCACGGCACCCTGCTAGGCTGTGTTTCTTAGCTGCTATTTGTCAATAGGATCAATTGATAAGTGTAAAGCACTCAGAGCTGCTGGGAGATAGTGTTGGTAAGCCCTCCATATCAGCCATTATTAATGCCGTTCTCTGTGGAGCCAGACCGGAACAAGACATGCCAGCAAATGGACCGTCCACAGTTGCTGAAGGAGGTGCTGTGCGAACCCTGTCCACCGCAGCACTGAGCTTGGGGTCGAACATAAGCCAGTGCAGCTACAGCAGCACCAGTGTCCTTGTCCCACCCCCAGAGTCAGGTACCACCTCACCTTCTAATGAGGAAACACAATACCATTTGCCTAATTATCACTTTTAACCACTTTTCCCTTTCTTTAATTCAGTTAGGCTAGTTAGGGAACATCACCATGTCTGTATTGGTTACATGTTTTAGGCTGCATTTTGATTGATTGAGTGAGTGAGTGAGTGAGTAAGTGAGCGAGCTAGGATCTCTCCATAGCCCCAGCAGGCTTGGAGCTTCATTTGTAGACCAGGCTGGCCTCCATCTCACAGAGATCTGCTGGATTTAAAGGTGTGCATCACGGCACCCTGCTAGGCTGTGTTTCTTAGCTGCTATTTGTCAATAGGATCAATTGATAAGTGTAAAGCACTCAGAGCTGCTGGGAGATAGTGTTGGTAAGCCCTCCATATCAGCCATTATTAATGCCGTTCTCTGTGGGCTCACATGATGTCATTTTGTGGCTGCTTTAAAGAAAGTTTCTGTTTCACATGTTGAGTGTATAGCAGCAACTGGGTTAGTCAGGCGTGTTCCCATTTTTGTGTTGGCTTGATAAGTCAGCAGAGCATGTTTAAGTTTTCCCTTAATAGCATAATTACTTGATCAATTATTTTTATTATCTTCCATCCTTTTGGCCCTTTGATTGTTCATAATGACTTGGTAGATAAATGGTGACGTAGCTGTTGTGTGGGTTTCTGGTTACTCCTAACTTATCTTTGCTAGCCTTCACCGGCGTATGGGCTGAGTGTGAGCAGTTACTATGGCGGTTCTGTCCTTAGTCCTTGCTTAGTTGTATTAGTTACTTTTTGCATTGCTATGACAAAATACCTCACTAAAGCAGCCCAAGAAAGAGTGGAGTTGGGTCCAGCCCAACTGCCTAACAGTCCTGCTGCTGTACCTTCCCCACCATGATGGACTGTGTCCTCAACAAAAAGCAGAAATTGCCCCCCTACCCCCCCCCCCCAAAAAAAAAAAAAAAAAACAACCACTATGCGTCTTTTCCTGTCCAGGAGGCCTAGCTCAGTTCCAACATAAGTGTCTTTGGGTAAAGAGAACATAATCTGCCTGCTCGGCGTCTGTGTCTCCCGGCTCTCCAGCTCAGGGCTGTTGGGAGGATGTCATGAGTTAGTGACTACTGTGACTGCTGATGTTGCCCGCTTGACTGGGTTTAGACTCTTCATGTCTTTTATTTCTGAAAAGTCCATGTGTCCGTAGTTTATACCCTTACCCTGATAGTGAGATTGCATATGAGGACTGTGATCGCAAGTGCATTTCGTGCAGTTTTCATTTATCTGTAAAACAATTAAGGCATAAACTCATGAAGTCACTTTTCCTGAGCCAGTGGTCCATGAGTGGCAGAGCAGGGAAGCAATTGATCTCCGAAAGCCATTGCCGTTATAGAATCTGTACCAGGAAGTAATTAAATGGAATGTGAGATACAGGATTAGCCAGTTATAAACTGAGATGAAAAAACTTCAAATATCTAAATGCACAAAGTGGGCAGGAAAGAGAATAGAGCACAAAAAAAAAAAAAACCAGAACGTAGCTCTATCAATAATGACTTAAATGGACTAAACACTGAAATTAAGGCAAAGATTGGAACCAGACTTGGTGGTACATACCTATAATCCCAGCATTTTGGAAAGTAGAGGCAGGATTGAGAGTTCTGGGCCAGCCTAGGCTACATGGTGAGGTACCGTCTCAAAACAAACAAACCAGAGGCAAAGGTTGCCAGAATACAGTGGAGATCAGTATCTGCTGTATGCTGTCTATAGTGCATTTGAAATCTTCAGTTCAACAATGGATTGAGAGTAAATGGGTGGAAAGGATGCAGAGTTCAAAGAGTCAGCATACAAGGTAGAAGGCTTGTTACTAATGGAGGCAAACAGAGTTGAAGACAGTCTTATCAGAGACATTTCATGGAGGAATGCTGTCAAGTCAGTTCAGTAGGAAGTTGTGACAATCACCCATGTACATTCATTAGTAACAGCTTCTAAAGAGGGGAAGCAACATGAAGAGTTAAGAGAAACAGACCTTCCATAGTCGCAGTTAGGAAATTTAACACACTCTGTCTAAAGCTGATAAAACATTAGGTCAAAAACTTGCACAATAGATGAGCTGAGTGACACTAATAACAAACTATTTAAACCCCAAACATTTAGAAAGAAAGCACTGTATTTCTATTTTTTAAAAAACATTTTATTTATTATTTTTATTTCATGTGTATGAGTGTATTTCCTGCATGTAAGTGAGTGCACCGTGTCATGCAATGCCACGGAGGTCAGAAGAGGGCGTCGAATTCCCCTGGAACTCGAGTTAAGGACGGTTTGTAGCCGCCATGTGGGTGCTGGGAATTGAACCTGGGTCCTCTGCAAGAGCAGTCAGTGCTCTTAACTGCTGAGCCATCTCTCCAGCCCCTATATTTCTATTTTTTATTTTATGTGTATGAGTGTATTGCCTCCATGTATAAATGCACCCATGTCTTTCATTGCTCATGGAGGTCAGAAAAGGGTGTTCTGTCCCCTGGAACTGAAGTTACAGATGGTTGTCAGACACCATCTGGATGCTGGGAACCAAACCCGGGTCCTCTGCAAGAGCAGCCAGTGCTCTTAACCCCTGAGCCATCTCTCCAGCCCCCAAAACAACTTATTTCTAAATAATCTGTGATTCAGGAATGAAGCCGGGCATGGACGCAGGCACTAACCTGCCCAACCTTCTCTCTGTAGCATTATAGAAACGGAGCATCGGGGCTGGAGAGGTGGCTAAGCAGTTAAGAGCACTGACTGCTGTTGAAGAGGACCCAGGTTCGATTTCCAGCACCCACATAGAGACTACGAACTGTCCTTAACTCCAGTTCCAGGGGAATCTGATGCCCTTTTCTGACCTCCGCAGCATTGCACAACATGGGTGCACTCACATACATGCAGGCAGTACACTCATACACATAAAATAAAAATAATAAATAGAGGCTGGAGAGATGGCTCAGGTTAAGAACACTGGTTGTTCTTGCAGAAGACCTGGGTTCGAATCCCAGCACCCACATGGCAGCTAACAGCTGTCCGTAACTCCAGTCCCAGGGGATCCAACAGCCTCTTCTGACCTCCACAGGCATTGCACTGACATGGGTGCACTTACGTGCAGACAATCCACGCATACACATAAAATAAAAATAATAAAATTTTTTAAATAAATAAAATATTTTTTTAAAAAAGAAACAGTCCATCACTGGGTGCCAGTCACCTGTAGGTGCAGGGCTGGGAAGGACCACGTTGGCTTTCTTCTTCGCACCTTTCTCTATCGATTGAATGTCTTATAACAAGCACATATAAATTTCATTTAATAAAACACAATCATTACTTTAAATTTTTAAAGCTATACCAAAGAACTGCGATGTGTTCAAGAAAAGAAGGTGGAGGTAAAGGAAAGAGGGTTAGAAGGGACAGAGAGGACCATTTCATCTGAGTAAAAGGCTCCAGCCCATCAAGGAAGCATAGTGTTCTTGAACATCTATTACCTAACAACATAGATTTGACACAGAGCTAAAGAAAAGACTATAAGGAGAAGCTGGGCATAATGGTGCACACCTTTAATCCCAGCACTTAATCCCACGGACAGGCAGGTGGATCTCTGAGATAAGAGGCCAGCCTGATCTATAGAGCCAAGTTCCAGGCCAGGGGAGATCCTGTCTCAGAAAACAGAGAGAGAGAGGGAGGGAGGGAGGGAGGGAGGCAGGGAGGCAGGGAGGGAAGGAGAGAGGTCAAGAATGGAATTTGAAGATGTCCTGAATTAGCCGTGCAGGTGCAATGCGCTGAAACCCATGGGAAGCAGTTGAACAGGGCTTGTATGGAGATGAGTAGCTTTGAATGCTAGTCAGAGAAGAAATCTGAAATTCCAGTTTAAGAAGCTAAAAAATAAAAAGGCAGAGTAAGCCCCAAGTAAAAAGAAGGAAATAAAAAATCAACAGAAGAGAAAATTAAAGTGAAAAGCTGAGCAAAATTGAAGCCTTTGTGACAGTATGAAATGGTTTGGTTCATGTAATTGTGCAGTAAGTCTTGAAATGAGCTGTTCTTTTGAAGCGTCGTTCTTTTGAAAATTGCTTTGAATGCCTTTTGTCCATGTAAGCTGTAGACTCGTTTTCTTGGTGTCCTGTTTTTATGGGTTATGATTCCTGCTCTTCACATGCCTGGTAGTTTGTAATTGGACAACAGATAGTGTAAACGAGTGGCAGTATTCTTGTGTTCCTGAGGACATGCTGAGCTTTATTTGGGGACCCATTTGAGTTTCTTGGAAACATACTGGTCCTTTCAGTCTTTACTTTTAAAATTTGTCATAAAGAACCAAAGCAGTGTGTGATCTAGGCCTGATTTTTCTCCCTACTGTGGAGTTCTCTGCCCATGAGTACACGAAAGCCAAGGTTTTAAAAAAAAACAAAAAACTTTTTTATGAGATAAGTGTTGATGCCTGCATGTGTGTTAGTGTACCCATGTGGTGCAGTGCCTGAGGAGGACAGAAGAACATCAGATCCCCTGGAACTTGAGTTATAGACGGTTCTTAGCTACCATGTGGATGCTGGAAACTGAACCCAGGTCTTCTGCAAGAGCAGTCAGTGCTCTTAGCCACTGAGCCATCTCTCCAGCCCTGAAACTTAATTTTTGTTTGTTTTTAGTTTTTTTGAGAGAGGGCCTCACTGTGTAGCCCTAACTGGCCTGGACCTCATGCTGTAGACTAGGATGGCCTCCAACTCACAGAGATCCGCCTGCCTTTGCCTCCTCGGTGCTGGGATTAAAGGTGTGCGCCACACAGCTGACCCTTTAACTTACTTTTCACGTAATTTTCTCTCTTATTATTAGTGTATGTGTATACATGTGCATAATATGGATGTGTATGACAAGGCACACATGTGGAGGCCAGGGGACAAAATTGTGAGTCAGTTCTCTCCTTCCACCTGTACATGGATTCCTGGGATTGAGCTCAGTTTACCCAACATGCACAGCAAGTGCCTTTACCCGCGGAGCCACCTTGGGGAAAGGAGGACTATCCTATGAGCTTCGGTTATAATGTCCTCTCTGAGAGTCCTTTCCGTACCAGGACTGCAGGTGAATGTTCTCCTGAATACCCTGGGGGCTGTCTGTGGCTGCTCTGGCTCCTTTCTCTGCTGCTGTCCTGGACACTCTGGTCTTGTCTCTCAGGGAGGTCACTAGGCTCCCTCTGCCAAGCCACAGGCTGGGCTGTCCTGGTCCACCTCATTGTTCCCCTTCCTCAGGCTCATTCTTTTTTCATTACTTGAGCTCAAGGCCCTGAAACCTCCTGTTTCATATATTGTATTCATTGTTTCAGGCAGGAAGGTCAGTCTGGTTCCTGCTGCTCTGGCTTCGCCACAGCAGAAGTTTGCTAAGTGTTCATGTAGCCAGAGTTCACTTCTGGAAGTGACATGGGGCCAAACCCAGCCAAGCCACAAGGTTACTACATGGTCCTGAGGGGTGGGTATTTCGGAACCCACCACAGTGCTCACTGTGAATCTTCTGTTCTTGGAAGAAGGCACTTGTTAGAAGCAACTCAGTCCCTCTACAGATGCATGCAAACGAGGATGTGTAGAAAGTGGATGGTATGCCATGTCTAAGTGTGCAACAACTGGGTACTGGTAAATTTACCTAGGAATAGTTAAAGGGTGTACATTTGTGGCATTCGGGTAAAATCAGGGTCACTGGGCAGGAGATGAGTGTGCATTCTTGTTTATATGTACAGAAAGAAACTGGAAGGGTAGAGAAAAATAATGGTTTTCTGCATGGAGGGTGCCAGAGAGCTGGGCAGGTGGCACTCTGGTGCCCCAGCAGTTTATTTGAGAGCACTAGTTTTTAGCTAGAATTTTGTTGACTTTAGGATTGTTTTTTGCTGTTCTTAGGGCAAACACAGTTACTATTGGCAGATATTTAATTCATTGTGATCTAAATTACCTATAATTGGCTCTCCTTTTTTTAAAATTTGTTTTTATGTGTATGTGTGTGTTCCTGTGTAAGTTGATGTGCACCGCATGGAGACTACATGGAGAACATGGAACTGGAGTTACAGACCGCTATCAGCCACCATGTGGGTGCTAGGAACCAAACCCATGTCCTCTGCAAGAACAGCCAGTGCTTTTAACTGCTGAAACATCTCTCTAGCCCCTTTATCTTCTTTTTTGAGTTTAATGGAAGGGATAGGGAGAACTTTCTAACTTCTTCTCACCTCTTTTTTGAACTACATGAGGATATTATCTATTTAAAAAGTAGTTTCAAAGGCTAGGTATGGCAGCATACGCTTGGAATCCCAGCACTCAGGAGGCTGAGGCAGGAGGATCATGAACTCAAGACTGGCCTAGGTTACGTAATTGGTTCCTAATCTCATTTCTAAGTTAATAAATTCGACAATAAATAAATAAAAATTCAAGGACAGCTCTTAAATTTGTAGAAATTTATCAAAAGGTGGTTAGAAAAGTGAAAATAAATAACTGATAGGAGTTACAATTAAACCTGTTTTCTTTCATCCCAGCAGAAGATGTTGCCCTTTCCTGTAAACCCTGGACCCCTAAGACACAGCCAGGTGCCCTGACTGAAGAAGAATTTGAGCAAGTGGGCCTCACAGCAGCTGTTCTTTCTGCACACACACAGAAGGAAGAACAGAATTATGTTGACAGGTTCCGGGAAAAGATCCTGGCGTCTCCCTATGGCTGCCATCTTCAGGAAAACAGAAACAAAGCGAAATGCTCGTGTGTCCAAGGTGGTTGGGTGTCTAGTGCACACCATCCGTCTTTGCATTGTCCTAAATCATGTACAGACTGTACTTTAGTGTTGATGGGGAATTGCTTCCAGGAAGGACTGCCCAACACACTGACTGACATATAAGTCCACAGATAGTCAGGGCCTTTGTATAAAAGAGCATGATACCCACACACCTTCCCGTGTTCTTCAGCTTACCTCTTCATTACTCTTAACATCTAATACAGTGTGTTTTACTGTTATTTGGGGAATAATGAAAAGAGAAACATTTTTTTAAGTCTGCACATACTCAGTGTAGACAGGTTTTTTCTGAATATTTTGAATCTATGGTTGGTCAGATCTGCAGATGTGCAGCCTGCAGGTGGACAGGGCCAGCTGTAATGGGGAGAAGGAGTGAACAGAGGGAGGTAGTCTTGCAAGACACTAAGTGTTGTGGTTACTTTGTTGACAGTTTGCCTGGGATCTATGTTACAGCCTAGATCTAAGAAACCAAGTTTTATAAGAAACCAATTGAGGTGCTGAAATCAGCTTATTTTAGGATACTAACTTTCATCTAGAATCGTGTTCACTTTAGAAATACTTTTTACCATTCCTATAGTAAGCACAATCACTACTGCCAAATACTTAGTTCATTGTAATCTACTTGAAATCTCCCGTAACTGTCTTTCTCTTCCTTTTTAAATTTCATTTTCGTAATATGCCTCCATGTTTACCCTTTCAGTAGATTCTACTTCCAAGCAGAGCAGATCTGCTGGGGGCAAGAAGTGGAAGCACAGACATAAGACGCCCACGCCGCTGGACGCCAGCAGCTCCAACACCGCTTTCTGTCCCCGTGTCCGGGGCTCCTTCAGGATGTACAGCCCTGGGGCCCTTCTACTGCCTCCCCTCCCCACGCCGCAAGCCATGACCTCCCTGGGAGGAGGAGCCTGGGGAGCTGCACCTGCACGTCTGCCTGTGTCCACCACCACCCAGTCTCTTCCAGCTCACCCCTCTCCTTACTTGGATACTTTGATGACCATTTTCCTGCAGAACACCCCCATCTTTCCTCTGTGGTCACCGTCATTCTCTCCTTGTCCGTTCTTGGAGGACACAGGTTCTTCTGAAACGACACTTCCAGTACCAGCAGTGGCTCCAAACTTGGAACCACCTTCATCAGTCAGCATCCAAAGGAGAGTAGAGGACAGATGGGAGACAGAGCGTGAAGAGCACCCGTGGGTTAGCTCAAAGAAGAGTTTGTCGTTACAGTTAAATCAACTCCAGGAAAAAGTGCCTGGATGTTCCCAGTCTCCAGATGCAGTGAGAAGGAATGTTTGCCCAGAAACTGAGTGTGTAAGTGATGCTGACTGTTGGTGCCCAGGGAGCAAGTAAATGTGGGTCCTCTTCCTAAATGAAGGGCCTCAGGTTAGGGCTTAGCACTGGTGGCCTAGGTGGGTGATCTGCTTTACAGCTGTGACTAAGACAAAGCCGGGCATGGTGGTGCACACCTTTAATCCCAGCATTGGAGAGGCAGAGGTAGGTGTATCTTTGTGAATTCAAGACCAGCCTGGTCTACATAGTTCCAGGCCAACTGGGGCTACTGGAGACCCTGTCTCAAAAAAAAAAAAAAAAAAGACCAAAAACAGACAAAGCCTTGCAGTGTGGAAACATGCAGTGTCACCCAACTGCAGAAAGGAAGGGCTCCTCTGTCAATGGGTACTTAGTGAGGCCTTTCACAAAGTGCCATCTTTCAGATTTTCTGTGTGAACTGGGTTTCCTTTCCATTTTAAATTGTAATTAAACTTATTAAATATATTAAACTTAATGTGTTCATTGCATATAAATTATATTTTCTTACAGCTGAAGTTGGTGGTATAGTAAGGGGAATAAGCCATATGACAGGATGTGAATTTAGCATTCATACTTTCTTGTGCACACCTGTAGGACAGTGGTGTACAGAAGAGGTAGGAGCCACTTTCTGTCACTACCAGGAAGTAGGCATTTATCCTTCCATACTTAGCCGTGTCATTCACAAAAATGAAAATTTTCAGGTCAGGTTCCTTAAACCTTTCAAACTCTGCACTAAAAAGGCACTCCCAGATTTACGGATCAGATTAAACTGCAGAGCGTGGCATTCATGTGTTTAGGTGTAGACTCGAAGATGAGTATGAATATTTACCAAAGCTTTTCTTTGATCTCCTGTAAGGTATAATGTCCTTTATCACATGCTCACAGCATGGTTCAAATCAAACACTATGCCCACCTTCGACAGCCTGAGTGCAGAAAACCAGGTAGGCCTGGGAATGTGACACCAGTTCAGGGACTGGAGAAAATGCCTCAGTATTAAGGAGTGCTTGATGGACAGTCATGAAGACTGAGTTCAGATCCCAGCTCACATGTCAGGCATCTTGTAATTGTAACTCCAGCTCCGAAGGATCCAGCACCCCCTTCTGTTCTCTGCACACACATGGGCACATACACATATACACACAAGAAAATGAATCTTAAAATTTTTATCATGTTTTATCTTGTGTGGGGTGGGTTCACTTGTACCACAATCTGCATGTGGATCGAAGGACAACTTTCAGAATCGATTCTTTCCTTCCACCTTGTGAGTCCTAGGGATCAAGTTAAGGTCATCAGACTAGTGAGCAGATATCTTTATCTACTGAGCCATCTCACTGGCTCAGTAAAATAAATCTTGAAAAAAAAAAAAAGAAGGATGTCAGTTCACATCAAAACCCTGTCACAAGTTAGATAGATGGGTTAGCTTAAAAGGTATTTTATTTTGCTTTGCTTTTTTTTTTCTTTATGGGAAAGATGGATATCTCATAACTTACTCCAAGGTTCAATGATAAAATATTTACGCAGTGCTTTTCTCATACACATCTTTCTTCTCATGCGCTCAGAGAGGACTGGGACTTTGTTTTGTCTACTCTTGTGTTCCTAGAGTTAAGCACACTATGCTTAGAACCTCTAAAATGTTCAGTGTTTACTTGCCAAATGACATAAATAAATGAAAGCCCACACTTGTGTGGTGTGTGGTGTGTGCTTGTAGCAGGTGCTCAGAAAGCTGTGGTACCAAAGGAGTTTGGACCACATTCCTGGAGTCCGGCTAAAGTCGTCTTGACTGTATACGTGAATTTTAGTCACTTGAACATACAAAGTTGAAGCTCCGACAGGTATCTAATGATTGGAGTGCTAAAGTACTTTTTGTGTTTTTCCTTTCCAGCCCCATGTTACAGATAATGGCAATAGGATTGGTCATTCCACCCGTGGTGAACTGTCTACGGCATCTGTGTACAAAGACTCTCCATCTGGAGCTGGCTCAGGTAGTCCTCAGGAAAACCAGCTCTCCATGTTGTTGCCAGATCACGTTGTCTAAGGCCATCTGGTTTGGGAATAATCAATGTATAAGCAAAGGTTTCTTCTTTCTGCAGGCCTTTTGGGAGTGGGGGCACATGCAGATGTACAGAAGCACTCTGACAGATACATACATCAGTGTCGCCTTCACAGTCACTACTTAGAATATTTCTGTGCTCTAGAAAGTTCTGTAACTCTACAGTCTGGATTAGTTACTTTTCTCATTGCTGTGACTGATTGTGCCAGAAATGTTTGTCTTATAGGAGGGTTTATTGTGGCTCACAGCTCAGAGGTACATGCAGTCCATCGTGTCAGGGAAGGCACAGCAGCTGGACCAGCTTGGTCTGGAGCAGAGGGACCTGGCCACAGCAGGCAGGAAGCAGAGAGCTCCTAGGTGGGGCCAAGTTATCACCCTCAGCAATCCTCGACCCCCCCCACCAGACGTCCCTCCACCAGCTACCCCTCCTGCCACTGAGATTCCACTACTTCCTAAAACCTCGTCACCAGCTGGAGACCAGGTTTCCAAACCCATGAGCCTCTGAGGGCATTTTCAGGTAGATCATGCAGTCCATCCCTGACCTGGTCCTCTGGGTCCTGGAAAACTGTTGGTCTGCTTTTTGCCAGTTCACTTTCACTATTTGTGTAATTTGGCATAATCTGAATCAGACAGTGTACATATAGGCTTTTGTGTTAAGTCTCGAGGAATAATACTGAGATCCATCCTTCTATATATTGGTAGTTTCCCTGTTGCTTAGTAAAATTACATCGTATGGATGGTTATTGGGTTCTTTCTGGTCTGGGCCTGTGATCAGCAATGTGGGTATCCTATGGGTGTATATTTTCACTTCCCAGCAGTAAATACCTAGAATGAAATTGTTAAGTCATGTGGTAAGAATCTGGATCACTTTTTAGAAACTGCCAACCTGGTTATACAGCTGGGGCTGAGATGACTTCTGGGGTGGGCCAGGAGACATACTGTCAGGTAGTCACCAAAGTCTTTGAACAGTCGTGACCTGTTTGGTAAATTAGCCTCTGACAGCTGCTTTTTACTTTGCTGATTTCTGATAGGAAGCAGTAACAGCAGTATATACTTTACTAAAAGTGAATATTCTTCTGAAATCTCCGAAAGTGAACAGAGACCTCAGGATATACAGAAAACAGAAGCCTTTCCCAAGTTAGTTGAAGAATCCATCTGGAAAATGATAGAGCAAACACCAGAGTGCATCCTGATGACCTATCAGCTGCCTGCGAGGTAGGAAGACACTCCTGAAAACCCAGCTTTTATGTGTTTATGGTTCCTTTCTTTGTAATATATATGTTTTTTTTTTTTTTGGTCTTTTTGAGACAATCCCGAGTGCTGGGATTAAAGGTGTGCGCCACAATGCCCGGCTCTTTGTAATATTTTTAAAATATATATTAAATTTTATTTATTTGAGAGTGGGGTGCCATGCACTCACGTGGAGATCAAAGGACAACTTTAGGAAGTCTGTTCTCTTTCTACCCACAATGTGTGTGCTGGTGATAAAACTCAAGTCCTTAGGCCTGGTGAGAGGGAAGTGCCTTTACCCACTGAGCCATCTTGTTGGTTCAAACATGCTGTATTTCGTACATTTATTATTAATTTTCAGGGGGGTATGCACGGTGTGGAGGTCAGAGGACAAGCTGTAAGAGTTGGCTCTGTTTACCATGTGGGTTCTGGGGGCTGAACTCTTGTCAGGCTTGGTGACAGGCATTCATTCCCTCTGGACTGTCTCACCAAGCCATCTCACAGTTACATACAGGAGCTATTTTTAGGGTTTCTAATGTGTTTTTCAACATAAATTGGTTTTCAAATATTTTATATATGCTCATAAAAAATGTCTTTCTAAATTCATTGATTTGAATTAAAGGATTGGTTTCTTGAAGGACGTGGTAGCATTAGTGCTGCAGATACTCAGGTCCACACAGAATGAACATGCTGCTCTTCACGAAACCACGACACAAGAAAACAAAGGCTGTGCTTCCCAGAATGGCACCTCGGTTCAAGAACTCCTCCCTTTGACTGTAGAGGAAGAGACGAGCTAAGGGAGACACTTTCCTCCAGGTTTCATTTACACACACAACTGTTTTCCACCAAGGAAATGTCTCCTGAGTAAGTTTGACAAAGAATGATCCTGGAGGCTGGAGAGATGGCTCAGAGGTTGAGTTCTTTCTGCTCTTCCAGAAACCTGCATTCAGTTCCCAGCCCCTACGTGGCAGCTCACAGCTGCCTGTGTCTTCAACCCAGCAGGATCCATCGCTCTGGCCTCCGTGGGCACCTGTCCTCATATGCACATGGCCCCACAGGTAGACACACCTGCACATAATTAAAAACAGTAAAAGTAGCTGAGCGTGGTGGTACACAGCTTGGATCCCAGCACTCTGGAGGCAGAGGCAGGCGAATCTCTTGAGACTGAGGCCAGCCTGGTCTATGTAAATTAAGAAAAAAGTCATGATTTGGTTATGCTTTGAAGACGCAGATTACATGTCAGCACAGAGAAGTGCTGATCTAGGTGACCTGAGTACAGAGAAGTGCTGGTCTAGGTGAGCTGAGTACAGAGAAGTGCTGGTCTAGGTGAGCTGCTTTGTTTCAGGGCTAAGGAAGCTGTCTTGAAAGAAGACCTGGAGAAGCTAGAAAGCATGAAGCTGTGCCAGCCCCATTTTTCTTCTGGGCAGAAGGAGGAGCTGGCCAAGGCACACTCTTGGATTCAAAGCCACGCTGTCCCTCAAGAAGTGCACCCCCAAGTAAGCTCGTAATGATACCATATTGACGTATCTTGTGGCAGGCACTGCTCTTAAAATAGGTAATGTTTTTTAGTTGATCCACAGTTAGCTCTGTGGTAGGAGATGCTATCCTTATTTTAACCTATAAACAAATTAATGTTAAATAATTGGTATAACGTTGTCCTAGTTTGTTTCTCCATTGCTGTTACAAAACACTCTGGGGAGGAAAGGGTTTATTCAGATTACACCTCCCAGGTCACAGTTCATCGAGAAGCCCAAGGTAAGGAACTCAGGGCAGGAACCTGGAGGCAGGAGCTAAAGCACAGGCCATAGAGGAATGCTGCTTACTGGCTTGCTCCCCTGGCCCATGCTCAGCCTGCTTTCTTATACAATACAGAACAACCTGCCCACAGGTGATATCACGCACAGTGAGCTGGGCCCTCCCACATCACTCAGTAATCAAGAAGATGGCCCACAGGCATGGCCACAGGCCAGTTCAATAGAGGAAATTCCCCAATTGAGGCTCCCTCTACCCAGGTGTGTCAAGTTGACACTAAAGCTATCCAGCATGAATGTTCCCTAAGTTTTGAATATAGATATTTTTAATACTTACATGAGCTTTCTCTGGGGAGATGTAAACATCACTTCAGATAGGGCTCAGTGACAGACCAATTGATCATTCTACTGAAGTCCAACTTGACGAACCAGTGAGCTTATTGGGATTTGCTCACAGAGCATGGGTGACCCCAAAACAGCCACAGCACCAAAAGTATCTCATCTCTGTGGATGGAATCTCCCCTTCTGTAGCCTTCCAGACTCCATATTCCTGTCGTATCCTTAGGACGTGAGACTGAGGCAGAGTTAATAGAACTGGAAGGGGAATGTAGGATGGAGGGGCTGGAATCTCAGGTGGCGATCTACTATCCCTTCCTACCCCCTTTTCCTGAGGGAACATCAGTAGTCCCCATCTTAAGGATCTCTTGTGGATAGTCACAGCTCCTTCTGATGAAGTTGGTGGTGTCCAAGCCAGCCGTGGTGGCTCACGCCTTTAATCCCAGCACTTGACAGGCAGAACCAAAAGGATCTCTGAGATTGAGGCCAGCCTGGTCTCCACAGTAAGTTCCAGGCCAGCAGAGGGACCCTGTTTCAAAAAAAATAAAAAAAAAAACAAAAGATGGTGGTGTCCGTTACTTTTGGAAGGCTGTGTTCTACAACAGTGAATGTTTTTTTCTTCTGTCAGTTAGAACGTTTTGCAGTGATAAAGCATAAAGACACTTACCCTGACGTAGACCGAGGAAAGATAACAGAAATACACGTCCATGATCACAAAGACTTCAAGGTATAAGAAAGATGCACAGGAGGAAGCATCCATTGCTAGCAGCTTCTGTGAAGCTCCATGCCATTTCCTTTCCATTACTGGTACATTGAGAATCCAGACATATAATCTGGCTGTTTATGTATCAGTCTCCTAAATTGTATGGAAAATGGCCCGGAATTGCAAACCAAGTTCTAAGATAAGCTTTTAGGCAGTGATTTTCTTTATATTAATCCCTAAATCATGTAAAAACAAAATCTGGAGTTACATTTCAACTCTTCGGTAATCACCTCTGCATCAGCGGTTCTGAGACCTGTGTCCCCCTCTGGCCTCATGGTATTGCTTCCATCTCCCAGATCAGCCTGTGGTGTTCCCATCAGCATTGCTTGGTCCACAGGTCTAGGGAGATGAAGCCCCCTTAGCTTTTGTTTTCTTGAAATGTCTCATTTCTCCCTCACTGTTAAAGGACTTTTGCCAGATAAAGAATTCTTGGTTGAGAGATTTTTTTCTTTTTAAAAAATATTTTATTATTTTAATGTTATGTGTATGAGTGTATTGCCTGCATGTGTGTAAGTGCACCTGTGTCGTGCAGTGCCCTCGGAGGTCAGAAGAGGGCGTCAGATCCCCTGGAACTGGTTGTTAGCTACCATATGGGTGCTGGGAATCAAACCCAGGTCCTCTGCAAGAACAGCCAGTGCTCTTAACCACTGAGCCATCTCTCCAGCCCTGATTTTTTTTCTTTAAGCTTTTTGAATGTATCATCTCACTGACTTCTGAATTCCAGAGTTTCTGATAAGACACCTGATAATCTTAGTGAGAATCCCTTGTATGTGGGTAGGATTGTGTATCTGTATGTCTGTACCTTTCCCTAGATAGGCATGGTGAATTTTCCACATTTTGTCATGTATGTAGCTGCTTTTGAGTGTCCTATACTTTATTCCCCAAAAGAGAAAGAAAAAAGTAGGGTGTCAGCCTTTTTAATCACCTGGAAGTTGCTTCAGCTAGAGCTTCTCAGCAGCACTGCACCCCTGGGTCCTCATGGCCAAGAGCAGAAGTAGCCCACAATAGAGCGCAGATCTCCAGTGTTCAGAGGACGGGCTCTCTGTGGCCCAGCCTGGTACCCATGTGCTGTGTGCCATCTGCTGCAGGAGTACATGTGTGGCTGCCTGCCCTGGCCTGTTACTGTGTGACAAGCTGAGACCGCCCTTAACTGACCGCCATTTGCCCTCCAAACCCTCACATAGACTTGAGTTCCCAAACTGTCAGTTAAGCTCTTCTGTCCATACAGTTGCCTAGATGAGAGACAGACCCCTGGCCTCCTGTTTTCAGAGAGAGAACGAGTGCTGCCATTTGAGAAAGGTTGGGTCGGGTCTTCTCAAGTAGGTGCTGTGCTGGTCACCATAAGTGTCTATTTTTTAATGTTGTGTTTCTGGGTTTTCATTTTTATCTATTTGTGTGTTTGCTTGTTTGTATGGGACAGGGTCTCATATTTTAGCTCAGACTGACCTAGAACTCACCATGTAGCAATCCACCTACCTTAGCCTCCCAAGTACTGGAAGTTTCCTCTGGATTTTTTGTTGTTGTTGGGTATTTGTTTTGTTTTGAGGGGGGTTTTTGAGACAGTCCCACTGTGTAGCCCTAGCTGGCCTAGAACTTGCTATCGTAGACCAGGCTGACCTTGAACTCCAGAGGTCTGCCGTCATCTGTCTCCTGAGTGCTAAGGATTAAAGGTTGTATGCACCCACACTTGATCCAATATTTATTTTTGTTTTATAGACATTTAAAATTTTTTATTTATGCGTATGAGTGTTTTGCTTACATATATGTAAGTGTATCTGTGTATTCAGTACTCTTGGAGGTCAGAAGAGGGCATCAGATTCCCCAGAATGGAGTTACCGATGGTTGTTAGCTATCATGTGGGTGCTGGGAACCCAGCCTGGGTCCTCTGCAGACCTGTACGTGCTCTTAACAGCTGAGCCCCTTGTTCTGGTTTTAGTAGAATAATACGTGAAGAACAGGCCCCCAGCAAGCAGAAGAAACAGTCTAATGAGAATGAACTGTAATATACTGTCCAGACAGGGATAATGGGAATGAACTGTGATGTACATGTCCAGACAGGGATAAATTGGGGCGTTAGAAATACGTTGCTTGGCTTTTTTCTTATTTTCAGGCTCTTCAGTAGACGTTAACATCAAATAACGCACTTGCCTTTGTTCTCTTTGGAGAGCTGTGTAGCCTGTGAAGACACATGTTCAGCTGACGATACTGCAGAGTCCCACGAAGTGAATACATCAGTTGAGTAACTGTGACGATGTCCCTTCACACCCCTACCAGGTCATGTGGGACACAGAAACTTCTGCGTACCTCTTACATGTCGGCAGTCACCAACATTGAGATCGTCCCTTCCTGCTTTTGTTTTGTCTTCTCGGCAGCGCCGGGGAGCAAACCCAGGGCCTTGCGTCCATTTGACCAGCACTCTACCAGCCCTTCCTCCTGGTGGCTGAATAGACATCATCCTCCGCAGCTTGTACATAGCTTCTTCTCTTTCCTGACACATCAAAACTGCCAGTGTGATGCCTATTCTAGTTTAGCTGTCATCTGAAGACATTGGATTGCCTCTGAAGAGGTAGGTGTCTAACAGAACTTGGTGTCAGAAGTCACACAGAAGGAATAAGTAACAAGCTCCAAACCTTAATATCGTTTGTTTTTGTGGTGTCACATACATCGTTTTCCATTGGAAGACTTGGAGCACTTGAAGCAGTTCTGTCTGTGGGTCTTGTACCTCTCATGTGATTTCCTTAATTTAGCACATTGATCTTGCGTTGTGCAACATGATGCTTCCCTTCATGTTAAAATGAGACATTCCTGTTTTCTCACCAAACATTAGAGTGCATTGTCCATTAATGAATCTTGCAACGCTGTTTCTGTGGTTGAGTTTCCACCCTTGTCCTTGTACATGCATTTCACTGCGATTTCTGCTGAAATTCTGCCTTTCACTGAAGTTCCGAATGTCTTTTCTTAGAAATGTATCCATTTAAAAGGGGCTTACTCTTTGGAGAACTTGAATTAAGCTTTGCATGTTTAATGTTAAAAGAGCTCCTTGCCGGGTATGGTGGCTCACGCCTTTAATCCCAGCTCTCAGGACGCAGAGACTGGTGGAACTCTGCGTTCAAGGCCAGCCGGATCAACAAAGCTAGTTCCAGGCCAGTTGGGGCTACAGGGAGACCCTGTCTCAAAAAGATCAAAAAAATAAATAAATAAAATTATGTATATAGTATTTTAAGGGTTTTTTTGTTGGTTTGTTTTAAAGTAATGTGGTAAGTTTTAAAAAACTTTGTGAGTTCGTAGTATTCTTTAGGCTTAGTGTTCAGATGCTCATGCTCACCAAACTAACAGTTGACTTTTCCTTTTCACTGAATTTACACAAAGAGGTCCCTCCATGCTGACCAGAGGTCTGTCTGGCACTGCCTTTTGTTTGCCTTTGAACAGGGTGAGTGCTTGGGGGCAGCACAGTGAGAAATGCACACCAGGGGAGCTGGGTGACCCTAGCCTTAGGGTACTGCAGAGTCCCATAAGGGACCCTCCAGGCCACTTGCAGTTATGTCTCAAGTGAGTGTAATTGTTCACCTCACACTCATTATCTGGTGCTTGAACTTAGAGAAGGTCATGATCCCTTCTCAAACTGGGTAGCTGTGAAACTCATCCACGCAGGTCAGGGGAAGGATCTAGAAAAGGAAAGTCGCAGGAACCTTCCAACTTGTGTAACTTGCAGCAATATAACTTGTTTTTCTTTGTTGTTTTGTTTGGTTTTGTTTTAGGCAAACACCTCTTTCTCCTTTGACATTTTATAGCTTTTTATAAATACGCTGTCATCTGGTCAGGAGAATTTGTTTGTGATGACTGCAGAGCCTGATGCTCCAACCCCAGACGTCTGACTCAGACTTCCTTTCTAAAGTAATGGTTTTCCTGGATGGCACTCCTACCTTAAGGTGTCAAAAACATTTATAAATTCTGCCTATGATATGTCTTTGAGTTTTTAATATTAAGTAGTTCCACACAAATGTTCTTGTATGAGTAGAGAATTCTCTCCGTCCTGGAAGTTAAATGATTTCTGAGACCTTTTGTGTTAGTCAAGTTGACCTTCTTCAGGAGTAAAGTCATTAGGTTGTATAAGTCGAAAGTGATGTTTGGAGCTGCCAGAGTCATTCTGCATTTGTGTATGAGTATTTCAACTTTATGCTCTCTGGCACTAGAGGCCCTTGCTGCTGTCCGGGGTATTTGTTTCATCTTTAATTACACATCCTTTTGCCTTAGTACACATCTTATGGGTGTGTGGATCGTGCCAGGCTTGGTTTGAAACTGGTGCTTGCGGTAGACTGATCTGTAAAGCCCTTTATCAAGTCTCAGCCTCATCAGGAATGCCATTGAGTGGACTCTTCCTGCTGCTGAGGATGGCAGGGCCCAGCACAGATTACTGCCACCCCCCGCCAGGGGCCTCACCCAGGGGAAACTTATTTTTGTATTAATGACTATAGAATTGGTAATGGAAGTGTATATTCTAGATTTCAACATTTACATGAATATTTCCCAAAAAGCTTTATTTTCTTGAGTCAGAAGTCAAAATTTATCAAAACACGATGTTGTATGAGTGGAATTAAACATTAAACGGCACATCATGATCACAAGGTGAATTTACAATTAACTGAATTTGCTTGTTTTTAATGGCTGTTAAGTTTTAATTGAGTGTCTTTTTAAGTAAAAACAATAAACAGTGTACATGTAAATGTGGAGACATGCTCTTGCTTTGTGTGAGCAAGCCTTTGAATGTGTCGGATCTCAGAACTGCTGGCTGTGATCTGTTGATGGTCTCCACACTGGGTCAGCATCGCGCCCTCAACACTGCCTTCATTGTAAGTGTGTCTCCGTTCTGTGGTGTGGAAGAGAGAGGCACCTTCTACTTATGTGTTCTAGCCTCACTTCAGCACTGTGAAGAACTCATTAGGTCCTGAGTATTTGTGTATATATGTATATATTTATCTATATGTATAATACTGTTAACAATTTAGCATCTAATATATAATACATAATGCAAATATAGTAAAATTCAATTATCAAAATTATTCTTAGCTTCTGTAGAGTCAGCTTGTACTTTACAAAGCCTATTACCTGGCAGCAACAAAATCTAGACATTAAAATAAAAACAGGATCCTGAAGCCAGCAAGGCCTTTAAATTTAATGCCCTTTGAATCATTTACCTTTCTGTAATGACAATAGGGAGAAGGCAGAAAGCTCAGTGTTTACGGCGTGGCCTGGCACGGCCTGTCCGAGTTCTTTGCAAAATGTGTCTCGCGTCATCCTCACAATTGCCCTAGAACAAGGCTTGCTATTCTCACTTTACAGAGAAGCTGGTAAGGCAGAGGGTGTGTTTTGTTGAAGGACTCAGAGGGTGTGATTTGTTGAAGGATCTGAACCTAGTAATCTGTCATAAGCTACTCTCCTAAAACCACTAAACCTGGTATGGATCTTGATACTATACTCTGCCAGAAACTGTTGGTCCGTCCCTTTGATATTAGCAGTGGGAACACGTGCATAATGGAACGCTGATGTATTTACACAGCTGTGGAGCCTGAAGACTAATAACCTGCCTGCTCCATTCCACAGTCTTAGCACGTGCCTCACTCTAAGAGCACAGAGGTGTTTCCCTTGAGCGAAGTCCGCTATGGCACTAAGCTCACAAAGGGTGAGAGCAAAGTCTGGGTTACAGAAGAGGGAAATGTTTAGGTGTTGAGTACTGTGTCCGGCCAAGAGCATACATGCATCTAAGTTCATATACACACACACCTCTACATGGAAACAGAGTTCATATTGTCCCATGCCTTCACCTCCAAGTGCCTTTACTTTGGAGATCTTTTCAAGCCAAGATACTACTTTCATGAAAAGTAGCAACTTGGCAGAGTGCCTGCCTTGAATGCGGGAAACTCAGGGTTCAATCCTCATGAACTGGACGTGGTGGCACATACCCAGAATCCTAGCACTCAGGGAGTGGACACAGGAGAATCAAGAGTTCAAGGCCTGCAGGGGATACATGAGACCCTGTCCAAAAAAGTAGCAATTTACGTTGCCATTTTTAGAGGTCAGAAGGTCTCCCAGCTAATACAGTTTATTTGCATCATTTGGAGCTCAGTGTTTGGGCTGGATTTTCCCTTCCTCTAGCTGTGTGCTGCGTGCTCCTTTAGCAGATGTCCTTTAAGGCTTTCTCTTTTCACAGTGCCCAGGATACAATAGAGAGCTCACATAGCCGGGCAGGCTCTCTGCCCTTGAGCTACACCCCAGCGCTACTTTTTAAATTTCCAAGAAATTTTCTAAGGGTAAATTGAAGGAAAGACAAATTACAGGTTTTCAGTAGTAAATAAACTTAACTCAGGATACTTGGAAATATAGAGGCTTTATTTCCTGTGGATGAGTGAGGACCGTTTTTCCAGTTCCTCGGCAGGCATTTCATTTTAGTTTTCTAAGGTGGTGGTTCTGAGAGACACATGGATGTGCATCTCTCTTCAAATACAGTATTTCCAGAAGCACTCTGATGCAGCCCCGTGTTGCTTACGTTGTTTTCTGGTTCTGGCCAAAAGACGACTCAATACAGTGTTAGAATCCTGTCCAGAGAAAGCCTGAAACAAAACGGGAGGTCAGTTTACTCAACTCAGTCCTGCAGAAAGAGGATCCTGTGGTGCCCCAGGCCTCTGAGGAGCACTCACTGTGTTCCCTCTGCTGGGCTGCTCTGCCAGGGCTCGCCAGCCTCGTCCTGCTCAGATGTGGTTGTCCTGAGCGTCCCTAAACCCCATTGACGCACTCCTATGCGTTTCTTCTAGTAGTAGGGTCTCCACATTTGCCTTCCCTGCAGCAGACCTTTTGTCTTAAAATTGGCTTATCTAGAGGTTTAGTTTTTCTATTCTAGAATTTGGTGGATATGACTCGTGTGGTTTTAGGCATTTAGTGTCAGTCCTTGTATTCAGAAGCATGTGAACATCTGAGTGATGGCTTTTCATTGGCCTCACACATAGCCCTGGGGGCCTTCAGGTTGTGCTCCCCACCTGCACCTCTAGTGCCCAGGGTGACTGCTGTCTGAATGCTAATGGGCATCACAACAGAGGTGCTTCTGGTCAGAGCGTTTGGAAAACCCTTGATTAACGCTCCGGGAGTGTTGACCTTGTGATTTCGTAACAGACATTCATTATAGTCATGTACGCAGGACTGCTAGGATGGGGAGGGCCAGAGCTGGCTCACAGGCAGTGATCCCAGAGGAGATGGCCCAGGCCCCCAGGAAGCACTCAGTGGGCGTTTTCTAGGGGTTAAGTCCTCTGCTGATTGCTTGCCACATCCTTTGTACCACACACAGCTCATTGGAAATTCTGCTCTCTGCTACTTACTTTCCACCCCAGGGTGGGAAAGCACATCATCCTTCCCTTCCCATGGTGCATTGCAGTGCCCACACTGGACTAATGCAACACTGCCCCAAAGATCTGTTTGACTAGAAGGTCTTGGTGGGTCTGAGAGTCTGTTTTCTCACCGGCTTCCTAGTGGTCTCAGTGCTGCTCAGTGGGATGGGGGCAGACCCAAGACCAGGAACCGTACCTTACCTCGTCTTTATCCTCCACAAACTGATATGATTTACCCCAAACAGGCACTTGATAAGTTCTTGTTAAATCGTATTTTCTATGACTCCAAGCTGGTTAAAATGATGCTTTAAAACAACAGTCATTTTGTAGTGCAATTCCCACCAAGGACTTGGGTCATGAATTTGGGATTCTGTAAAGTTAGGTATAGAAAGTTCACCTTTTCTCATAAACACTCACCTTTCTCAAGCTTCCCCTTGGGTTAGGAACATCAGTACTAGTATCTGGAAAACAATTTTGAAACCAGCTTAGCAGATCTATTGTTTGTATTTTATACTTATTTTAAAACATACAAAATAGAAGATACTGGGGCTGGGGCAATGGCTCAGTGGATGAAGCTCTTGCCAAGCAAACTTGAGGGCCAGAGTTCGGATCCCCAGAACCCATGTAAAAGCTAGACAGATATGGAGGCCACCTTAACCCCAGCTCTAGAAACAGTCCTTGGAGCAAGCCAGCTGGAGCACTTGAGTGAGGACAAGGAATCTTGCCTCTGTATTTTTCTCAACTGTTCATAGTTTGTCAAAAACATAACTACCTTGTTCCAGAATATTCTGAGCATTGTGTCAGTGTGTGAGAAAACATGAGAAAATAAAGCTGTTATCTTTTCCAATTACTTTTTTTGGTTTGTTTTTTGAGAAAGGGTCTCATTCTGTAGCTCAGGCCATCCTTGAACTCATGGCAATCCTCCTGCCTCAGCCTCCTGGGTGTTGGGCTTATAGGCATGAGTCACCATACCCTGATCACTGTGACCTCCTATGCTTTTTACTTGGCTTTTTTATTTTCATTGATTCTTCAACGTAACCTTAAGAGGCAGGGTTTTCGTAGTTCTGGTTTGGTTTTTGACACAATTGTCTTACACAACCTAGGCTTGCCACAAATTCGTGATCCTGCCTCAGCCGCCTAAGTGCTGAGGTTCCAGGCGGGCACCACGATGCCCAGTGTGGACTCTTTATCGTTCCTGTCACCTGATTAGGAGGGCTGGAGAGGACTCCACAGTTGCTGCTCTTGCAGACTACCAGGATTCAGTTCCCAGCACCAATCTAGTGACTAACCACCATCACTCTCTCCAGTTCCAGGGGATCCAATGCCCTTTTCTGGCCTCCTTGGGCATGAGGCATGCACATGATGTACATACATCCAGGCAAGCATTCATATACATTAAATATCTGAAAGTATAGTGCATACAATCATGATTTGCTTAAGATGTTAGTAAGTAGAACACAAAGGTTTAAATCTGCCCTCATTGGAATCTGGCATAATCGGCCCTGCCTCCCCTAAACTGTGTGCACAGGAAGGGAAAGTTGTGCCTGTCCGGGAGAGTCAGGGGCTCAAGCAGTTGCCAAGAGGAGGAAGGGCAGACATGGCGGTGGAACAGGCCAAGAAGGAAGTTAGGAAATGCCATTTCACGTAGCTTAGCATCAAAAGGGGGCACGTTCAGTAGCAGTGCAATCAGCCCATAAGCCAGGGAAAAGGCCTTTACCTGCCTCCCTGAGGCCTTCGCCTGCCCGTGTGCCCACTGCCTGCCGCAGTGCCTGCAGGAGGGAGGCCCTCTCTAACTCCTCCAGAGCCAGACGAGCATCTTCTTCGAGTGCTGCAAAGTAGACATAGAGACCGGTAACCCAGCCCAACTTCCACCTGGTCATTTCTGCTCCCTGTGGACTTTGGGGAGTACTGAGGACTTGCCACTACTCGTATTTTAGCCAAGAAGCAAAGTTACAGCAGTCCAGTTCACCAGCCAGCTTGAAGTCTACTGTTGAGGCTCGTGGTTCTCCCTGCCTGTATGGCCACCCCACCACCTCCCTGAATCAGGAGGAGAGCAGAGCCACAACGCCCTGAGCACCAGCTTGGCTCAGAAAGTACGATTCCTCCTCATCCCCATCTGTCCACTGCTGCCTGTTGCCTTTGGCTTTGAGGTCTCCAGATGAGAGGCATAGGGAAGGAGGGTACCTCTTACTGCACTTCAAGGTAGAGATTCAGCTTCAGATACTCCATTGTGGCTTTCTCCGCGTGGAATGCGATCGACACCTAAGGTATGTGAGGTGTGCGTGGTAAGGAGAAGAATGTGTGAATGCATGTGAGGTGTGTGGTATGTGCAAAGTATAGGGGTGTGTGTGTGTATGTGTGATGGAGGTGCATGTGGTATGTATGGCAAGTGAGGAGTGTGGTATGGTATGCATGGTAACGGATCTGTGTGGTGTGCCAGGTGTGTGGTAAGTGTGCTAGTGTAGTAAATGCATGTGAGGTATGTATGACAAGTGCAGGCCAGGTGTGTGGCCAGGAGGCTAGCAGCAGTGTAACTTTGTCATGAGGGAAATCTATGGAGAAACAAACCTGAGAGAAGGTTCTGACAGTGCTACACAGGCTCCTGCCTGTTTGGAATTTGAGTGACAGGCTACCCTCGTTTCAGCCTTTTTACTGTAAACTTTTTAAATGGCCTTGGCATCTGAGCATTATTCTGGATTTCCTTTTGCAACGTTTATTGGCTGTTTGGGAATAACAGGATGAGCTCCTGCCTGGTTTTGACCAACCGGGTGTCAGTTGTGAACTCGGAGACTCAAGCAGCTGATTGACAATATTTGGCATTCAAAGTGATCAGAGCACTGGTGGGGCTTAGCGACTGGAAACTACGACAGCAAGGACTTAGAAGAGATCTGATTTACTGAAGAAAATGTCCGGTCTGGAGAGATGGCAGCACCTGGCCACCAAGCCTAACAACCCGAGTTCCACCCCCAGAAACCCAGTGCCAGAGGGGAGCGCCGACTCCTGCAAGCTGTCCTCGGGCCTCTACACATGAACCTTGGCACTCGTGAGTGAGTATATGCACATGCACACACATGCACTAAATGTAAAAAATAAAAAGTACCCAGAATTAAAGAGTGAAATTCAGTTAAGTTTTTATGGGTCCTAATACCATCTAGAATTAAGAAGTAGTGGCGAAACAAATTTCTAGCTGACATTTTTAGCTTAATGTGGACTTGGATGCAACATTAAGTGAAAAGGGAAACGAACGGAGGTCTGTGAGGTCCCCAGCTCCAGAATGTCACTCTAATTAATTGAGCCTTTCTGTTTCATATAACATTAGGTTAGGGTCTTTTAACTCAATATGACAAAATAGGTGCATGGCCAACACGTAACTGGAGAGCCCAACCCCACATTCAAACCAATTCATTTAAAAGTGGAAGATAATGTTTTAAATTAATTTTTTTACAATTTTTACAAGCAGAAAAAAAATTTGACCACAAAAGTTTTATGTCTACGACATGAAGTAAGCCATGTGAGTCTATGCTCACAAGAGGAAATCGTGTCCATTGCTAAATCTAAGACCCACAGTCCTTCATACTCTTTTTAAAGCAAGATTGTTAATACAGCAGGACCCTTTGAGTGAGAACCCCACTCCTACCCTGGTATGGCATGTAGGACCGATAGAAGCTTAGTTACCTGAGAGCTGAAGAGTCGCTTCCCCAGAGTCAGTGACCGGAAGAGACAGAAGTGGATTCAGGAATCCTATGAAAATCAGGCAGCAGAAGGCCAGCCTGTCCATGGTGGGAGGAGAAGAGATCTGCCTGGCTCTGCTCTGGAAAACCTCCCGCTTGCTCCTTCTGCTCCAGAGATCGCCCATTTTATCCATCATCCTGTGACCTCGTGTGTCCCCTGCAAAAAACAAAATGAGTTTATTGGCTACCGAGGCTGAAAGGCAATCACTTTGCATTGATGTCATTTTTCAAAGTGACAATTCATAGACAATAAATTACTCCATTGTTGACTCCTGTACAAAACAGGTATCCTATAAAGCACAGTGAAGTTTATAAATCTGGCAAAAGAAGTTAACTCAATAATAAATCAGAAGTGAAAGGAAGGGTCAGACATAATGTGGCCAGGACAGAAGGACAAGGATTTATTAGTCAGAGCAGAAGTAATGCAGGGCATGACGTGAAATATGTTGTTTCCTTTTTAAAAAAAATCTCTCAAGTGAATAGATGAGTTGTCATGTTGTATTAAAACTTACTACTAGTTGTTTGAAATAGTGAACAGCAGTTTAAAACACATAGCAGGTACTGCTCGGAGCCGAAGCCCAGCGCACGTACTTGGCTTCAAGTAAAATCACAGGCACTTGAGGTTTCAGAGCAGAGATTTCCATAGCGCTGGAAGAACTTTAGTCATCAAGGAGGGCTAAAGGACATGCCCTGAACCCGTGGTGGAGATCATCTCCACCCTGCCCAGCCTGGGTCCACCCTGTGCAGGGGCTTCCCTAGGCTCAGCTCAGCCCAGCAAAGGTGCTGGTAGGACCTACCTCATATCACCTCAGGGTTTGTTTTTGGAGATGGGTTCTCCTGATGTAGTCCTGGATGACCTAGAATGGCCTCAAACTCATAGAGATCCACCTGCCCCTCTGCCTGCCAAGCACTGGGACTGAAGGGCTGCGCCACGGTGCCCGGCACTCACCTCTTCTTTGCTCAAAACATATTTTTAAATGTGAATATGTGTGTTTGGTGTATATGTGTGCGTGTGCACGTGCACGTGTGCGGGCCAGAGGTTAACACTGTCTTTCGCTCTCCACCTTGTTTTTTTTGTTTCGTTTTGTTTTTTGGCCTTTTTGACACAGGGTCTCCCTGTAGCCCCAGCTGTCCTGGAACTCACTATGTAGACCAGGCTGGCCTTGAACTCACAGAGATCCGCCTGCCTCTGCCTCCCAAGTGCTGGGATTAAAGGCATGCGCCACCACGCCCGGCCTCCACCTTGTTTTTTGAGACAGGATCTTTCCCTGAGCCTGGGACTCACTGATGTGGCTAGGTTAGCAGGGTAATGTACTTGGGGCTCTCTGCCTGTCTATACCTCCCACACTAGAGGTACAGGCATAGACCAAACACGAGTCTGGGCTCTGGATTCAGGTCTTCATGCTTGTGCAGCAGACACCTCCCACTGAGCTATTACCCCAGCCACCCAGTACCCTCTACTGTAGAATCACTAGGTGGGGGAAATGCATGGCTATGTCCCAACCTCGGGTTTGACCAACTCAGGATGTCAGCCACATAAGAAAACTTGGAGGCAGGAGGAGAAAGTTCAAGAGACCTGCACATCATGATGACCGTACTTAAGAACACTGTGTCACATACTTGAAAACTACAGACAGTTTAAAGTACTTCTATCACGAAAATGATTCGAGTGTGGGAGATAATTCATAGGTTAGTTAGCTTGGGCTAGCCAGTCTGTGGTATGGACACATACCAAAATATGTTGTACAGCATAAATGGAAAAAGCTGATAAAAATCAAAATTAGAAACATCTGCCCTTTGAGAAAACCAAAGTTTTTTGAGAAAATGGCCGCAAAGCATGCCTGCCAGGACACCGTCCCTGGTGTATGTGTATCACGCTCGTATTTATTTTGCAAATGTGTGCGTGTTTATGTGCGGCACACTTGCACCTTGGAGACAGCAACCTGCTGGAGTCGGTTCTCTCCTTCCGTGATGTAGTCCCAGGGATTGAACTCGGGTCGTCAGACTTGGTGACAGGCATTCTCACCCACTGAGCCGTCCCACTGGTCCTTGGGATGTACTTTTAAAAACCACAACCCAGTAAGCCCAACAACCCATCTAAAACACCAGGCAAAAAAAATTTGAACAAATCCTTCACAGAGGCAAGTATACAAGTCACTATTAGGCACATGAGAAATACTGCATGTGGTGTTAGTATTATATATACAGAGATGTTCGATTAAATGACAATACCCAGCCTGTATTCAAAAGATAGGCAATTCCAATACCTTTCCCAAGCCACCAAGTAACAGATGTCTTTCCACATAGATGGACAAACTGCGGAGTCTCACAGTGGACTTCTATGGCATGGTACAAAGAACTGCTTATAAACTCAAGAACAAACTTCAGAAATTTTAGGGTAATGTAAGCCAGACCCAGAGAAGTGTATGCTGTAGTTTCTTTTCCTGTGGCTGTGATACAGTCCTCTGACAAAGCAACCTAGGGGAGAAGTGTTGACTTTGGCCCACAGTTCATGGGTGACAGGATCGTCAGGCTGCTGGTCACATCCCATCCACAGTCGGGAACAGAGCAGTGAATCCTTCTCCATTCCCACACAGTCCAGGACCCCAGCCCAGTATGGTGCTACCCACAGTGGGCAGGTCTTCCCACCTCAATATAGTCAATCTCCCAGAGCCCCATCTCCCAGTTCATTCTAGATTCTGTCAAGTTGACAGTTAACACCTTTGCAGTATGCACTGTGTGGTTCTGTCTAAATGAGAGTCACAAAACTTGACCTTTAGTAATAAAATTAGGTGCTGGAGCCGGTGAATGTCCCTGTGCTAGTCACAGCCATGGCTGTGGGGCCATGTGCATTGCTGAAACATCAAGCATCTAAATACAGCAAGTGTGTTTTAGCACACGTGAACAATACCCACTGGCTCCTGATTTCAGTTTTTTTAGAAAAATATTCTATTTTTATTTTATGTGTATGAGTGTACTGTCTGCATGTATGTGAGTGCACCCGTGTTGTGCAATGCTGCGGAGCTCAGAAGAGGGCTTCGGATTCCTCTGGAACTGGAGTTAAGGACGGTTCATATCCACCATGTGGATGCTGAGAATCGAACCTGGGTCCTCTGCAAGAGTGCTCTTAACCACTGAGCCATCTCTCCACCTCCCCAAAAGGGTTTGATTTTATTTGTTTGTTTGTTTGTTGGTCTTTTTGAGACAAGGTTTCCCTGTAGCCCTAGCTGGCCTGGCACTCACTATGTAGACCAGGCTGGCCTTGAACTCACAGAGATCCACCTGCCTCTGCCTCCTGAGTGCTGGGACTAAAGGCATGTGCCACCACACCCAGCCAGGTTTGTTTGTTTGTTTGTGTATCTGTGTGTGTGTGTGTGTGTGTGTGTGTGTGTGCGGGTGCCTGCTGAGCCCAGAAAATAGTGTCAGATTCCCCTGGAGCTGGAGTTACAGGTACTGGGAATTAAACCCCAGTCCCCTGAGAGAGTAGTATACTAGTTACTTTTCTTTCTTTTTTTTTTAATATTATTTTTATTTTATGTGTATGAGTGAATTGCCTGCATGTATGTGAGTGCACCTGTGTTGTGCAGTTCCGAGGAGATCAGAAGAGGCTTCAGATTCCTCTGGAACTGGAGTTAAAGATGGTTCGTAGCCACCATGTGGGTGCTGGGAATCGAACCTGGGTCTTCTGCAAGAGCAGTCAGTGCTCTTTACTGCCGAGCCATCTCTCCAGCCCCCTGGTTTGTTTTTACCTTTTTGAACTTTTCTCTCCCCCTAGCATACTTCAGCTATTTCAAAGTCTTTGCTGCTCCCTGAACACAGTTATTCCTGGGGACCCTGCTCCAGCTGCTCCTCCCAAGACAGCTCAGCTCCTTAGCTCTGTGCTGCTACCGCCTCCTACTTGGGCCTTCCCCACCACCCAGCCCAGCACGGCCCATCACTCTGGCTTTGCTCTGCCTTTTCCATGTCACATAACTCCCAGCACGTAGGACACATTGAGAGATTTAGCGTTCAAGGTAGGCAGTAGCGGCTGCGGCTGCGTGTGTGGGATACCAGCTTTGCCTCCCAGGAGAAAGAGCAGTGGAAAAAATAAAAGAACTTCCTTTCCTCACAGACGTTCTAACTAGAGGGGACAGACAACAGAATGAGAAGATGCCTTGGAAATTACCACTGGGAAGTGAAGCAGAACAAGGTAACAGAGTAGGAGGCGGCCAGGTGATTGGGCAGCTGTGGTTTCAGGAGGATGCCTACGGGAAGGGTCTAGGTAGAGGCCCACGTGGATGGGGGCGGAATCAGTTGCAAGGTTAGTGAACTGTGGAGGGTGCAGGAAGAGAGCAGAGGAGTGGCCTGTTCTTGGAAGGGCTAGTGAAGCCTTCAGAACGGCCACACTATAGGAAGTGATGGCGGAGGGACCATGTCTAGAGCAACCCAGGGCACAGCCCTCCTGTGTGAAACCATGCTATGTGAACAAAAATTGGCAGGGAATATTGCGGCACTGCAAGTAGTCTCAGGGCAAAGAGATTGTTTTTCTTTTCCTAAAATGTTAAATTACAGGCTGGGCATGGAGCTCAGCTGGCAGAGTGCTTATGTGAAACCCTGGGTTCAATCCCCAGCACTCATAAACCAGGTCTGATGGCCCACCTGTAATCCCAGCACTGGGGAAGTAAAGGCAGGGGGATCAGAAGTTCAAGGGTTCCTTGGCCACACAGCAAGTGTGAGGCCAGTCTGGGCTACGTGAGACCATCTTTAGAAAAGTGTGTGTGTGTGTGTGTGTGTGTGTGTGTGTGTGTGTGTGCAGTCTGTGTGCATGCATGTGTGCATGTAAATCACTCATGCTGTGATGTGTGGGCAGCAGATACGGAGCAGGCCGAAAGAACTGGGGTCTTTGGTGACCCTTGAGGACAGTTGTGGAGGGAGGCAGTGAAGCCACTCTCCTGCCTCCCCAAGAGGCCGCTTGCCAGGTTTGTCATTTCCTTGGTGACTCAGGGGTCCTGACAGTTATGAGTGAAGGTTTTACAGCATGGCCTAATTAAGGCCTAGGCTTCAAAGG